AATGGGGGTCCCCCGAGTGCACCAGGCATCGGAGGCATACGCGCCATGAGTACATCACTATAGGAGCGAGCGGACTTTCCGGCGGAATACGCAGGAGACGTAGCATGAGGCTGGTCGTCTCCCAGAGCCGAGACTAGAGATGAAAGGGCAGACTCACTGTTCGTCCTAAGAGGGCCGGCCTCTTTGGTAGAGAAGGTGTTGGTCTTCTCGGCAGTAGCTTTGCGTGCACGTGTCTGACGCAGCTGGTACCGAGGGATGTGTGAAATGGTAGTAGTAGACATGTTGATTGGGTAGAAGTTGCCTAGATGTAGGACGACAGGTGGATCAGACCAGAGTTCTGGGTCAAGTACAAGTGTAGGGGTTAAGCTTGTTGAAGGTTAAAAAATATGTGACAGATGTGATAAGCGAAGGCTCACCTGGGTTTCCCAATAAGTAAGCCTTACTATAGTGGTCTATTACATGTTGTACCTACTATTGTTAGGCTTCGTTGTACTAATACTCAACACCAGCGTTATATACTGTCCCAAATACTCCAGGACTCCTGCTATTTTGTGTACACTGCCGGTAAGCAGCTCGGCACTGTCCGCCCACCTATACTATCCAAATGTGTCATCCCGACGCACCCTGCTATGCGCCTAACCTTCCGAAATCGGCAAGGTACTGCTCCCACGCCCCTTGCCCTTCTCCACCGCCATCGCTATCTACCACCCCACCATAGGCATCGACGACGCCTTCTACACTTTTAGCTACCACCACTATGTGGCACCGTCTGCTTAGCCACGCTCTACCATTCTGGACGCCAGCCTTGTCTCTTGAGGACGTCACCACCAGCCTCCTCATCTCTCAAGGATGCTACCACCAGCCTCATCTCTTGAGGACACTACCACAGCCTCGTCTCTTGAGGACACCACCACCATCCTCGTCTCTCAAGGACACTACCACCACCCCATCTCTTGAGGATGCCACCACCAGCCTCGTCTCTCAAGGACGCTACCACCAGCCTCGTCTCTCGAGGATGCCACCACCAGCCTTGTTCTCTCGAGGACGCTACCACCACCTCGTCTCGAGGACGCCCACCTTCATACCTCAAGAATGTACCACCAACCTCGTCTCTGTCTAGTCCCTACTACCATGGTTACTTCAAATGCAGGGCAGGAAACTGACCTGGAACCAGTACCTTTGATGGAGTTTGAGGACTTGTCTTTGTGTACCGTGAATTTTTACTATCATATAGGCACAATGATGTAGCTGACTGTATGGGGCTTAATACCATGAAAAATGCATCAATGTATTCAGAGCAAGAGTGATAAACCATGCAGTCTATCAACTACAACTGGTGAGGCGCTGGTGGCGGCCCAAACATACGATCTAAATTTGCCAACATAATATCAGGATCCATCAACTCATTGGCAGCAAGAGTAGTGCGGTTAGTGGCTGCAGGACTGGGAGGAAGAAAATTAAGGTTTGTAGGTAGCAGGATCAAAGTTCAAGGCACCGTTATTCACGTTGTTCAAGGCACCAAGGTTGGCATCAGTATTGCCGTTGATGTTGGTGTCAGTATCGGCACCGGTGTCGTCAGTGTTGATGTTCGTGTTGGCGCTGGCATCATCAGTGTCGATGTTGTTAGCTGAAGTCTCTTCAGTGGGCTCTTCATCTTGATCATCTGTATCGACAGTCTCAACACTCTTGTAGGTCTTCTGCGATGGTTTGACTCTCCATATGTGTCTGGAGACCGTGCCCGCTTCTTTCCCTTATCTGAGCGAGTCCGCCGGCGGTGTTTCAATGAGCTCGCCATTTTCAAGGCTCTTGTTGCGTTCTTTGAGGAGTTGTTGAAACTCCTCGTCATCAACTCATCTCCATTTGATGGCATTAGACCACCACTTTCGCAAAAGCATGTCAAGGTCAGGAAGGGTGCTTGACACTTTGCTGAGTTGGTGAAGGAATGTTGGTAGGCCAACCTTCGATGATCACTTGGTAGCATTGGATGACATTTCGAAAGTAGTTGGTCCAGTGCATCTTCGCATCTTCGTCCTTAGTGATTTCAACTGGACGATATAATAGTTAGAGTAGTACAAAATGATGTGCTCAAATAAACTCACCAAGTCTCTTGCCAATCTCATGGCGGATTGCTGAGCGAACTGCAGAACACTGCTTTTGATGATTTTTTGCCGCACCTAATGAGTGAAAGAAATCAAGCAGGACGAAACAGACCTTTCATGCCTTGAACAGCAAATCCTTCCATCTTACTGATTAAGTCTTGACTGTCGATATTCATTGTAGACGACATAAACTCATCCACACCTTCAGTAGTGAAGTTGACACAAGAGACAAGGCTGGTGGTAGCATCCTTGAGAGACGAGGAGGTTGGTGGTGACGTCCTCAAGAGACAAGGCTGGTGTCCAGAATGGTAGAGCATGGCTAAGCAGACGGTGCCACATAGTGGTGGTAGCTAAAAGTGTAGAAGGCGTCGTCGATGCCTATGGTGGGGTGGTAGACAGCAGTGGCAGTGGTGGTGGAGAAGGGCAAGGGGCGTGGGAGCAGTACCTTGCCGATTTCGGAAGGTTAGGCGCATAGCAGGGCGCATCGGGATGACACATTTGGATAGTATAGGTGGGAGGACAGTGCCGAGCTGCTTACCGGCAGTGTACACAAAATAGCAGGAGTCCTGGAGTATTTGGGACAGTATATAACGCTGGTGTTGAGTATTAGTACAACAAGCCTAACAATAGTAGGTACAACACGTAATAGACCACTATAGTAAGGCTTACTTATTGGGAAACCCAGGTGCAAAGGCTTTCAGATGTGGCACAAGGGATTACTAAGATGCTCAAATAACCAGATACAAGTCAAGTAGATTCAAGAATGCCAAAGATACAAACAACGAGGAGCGACTCGTCTTATACTAGGTAAGGTGCTAGGCTTGTGATACTTTAGAATAGGCAGCTGATAAAGTAAATGTTTCAGATAACGCGACTTCCGAGTCTCCCGATTCTGCGATACGATCCAGTCCGAAGGCAGACGTCACAACACAATAATTGTTTTTAACCCCATTAACCCCAGACTCCTACCCATTGCGTGGGGAGGTAAGTCTACATCATAGAGCAGCCACTTTGTCAATAGAATCATACAATTATATAATCATTTAAGCGACAATTTTTGAGACAACCTCCCCACAGCGACTGGCATAACTTGTTGTGGCGTCAATTGTTGGCCTTGTTTGTCCCCCACCTGAAGGGCGCACAAAACGTACATGAGACCATAAGCAAACCTCCAAGCGCGTGAAACGGCGGGATCCCGTTTTGGTAAGTCTGAATCTCGTCGCTCATAGACATATTTCAACTGTAGCATGCAGTGTATGATACGTATTAACTGTATAGAAAACATAATGATCTGACAAATGTAAATTTTTGTCCCCCTCCCAGCTGCATGACTCAATGCCTGTCTCCATCAAGACTCGTTTAAATAATGTCCTCCAAAACATACGTGACAATGGATTTTCATTGTCGGACGTCGTGGAGGCAGTGATCTCTAGCAAAGATGTCAGTCACCAAGATGTGCAGACAACACTCAAAGAAAACAGTACTCACTTCCTCACCTGGCTACTCACATCAGAGGATCCTCATGGGTGCAACCTCCCGCGCGCTGTTGATGCTGTTATGAAAATCTTGTGTGATGAGGTGCTCGAGTTGTCGCAAGAGCAGAGTGGTCTTCACTTTGGTGCTACAACAGCAACATCCTCACAGCTAGAGGACTCTTTCATGAGAACTCTAGCACAGAAGATCAAAAAAATCACACCAAATCTCTTTCATCTCATATTTTCACTTCTCAATGCGAACCCCACACGGCGCGACATATGAATGATGCTGAACTTGATGAACTTGTCCGAGAACTCGACGAAGAAGGAGACGAGGAGCCAGAGCAAGATTTAGGTGATATTGGGGGTGACGATGATGCCATGGGCGAGGGTGACAGTGAGGAGCTTGATGTGGAGAGAGAAAAGCTGCGCAAGCATTGGCGCAATGCTGGCAAACGGAATGCAGCACTGGTGCTAATTGTAAGCAACCAAAACATCACCTTAGAGAAATGCTGAGACGAACCACAGAAGTTAGTCATTTGCGCATGCATCTTTGCACACAGCACGAACGAGCGATGCAACATGCTACAAAGTATCCTGGGCATCTTTGCCCATTCAACAGGAACTCCAGCAAAGGTTATTGACCTACTTGCTCATGCCAGCCTTTCTGTGAGCATCTCATCTATCGAAAAGGCAGTAGTGTCACTGTCAGTCGAAGCTGGTATCCACATTAAACAATCCATACACACCTTGCAAACGGCACTCGCATATGACAACTTTGATATCGACTTCAAAACCTCTCAGCCCACTGTTGAACAACAATCAACATTCATCAGCTCAACCTTGGCAACAGCAATTCCGTTGTTTGGTGTCAATAATCCCATGCAGTTGCAGTGTGCAGCAGCAGTCCGGCTGTGTGAACAAAGTGGTGATGTGAGCAGCTCCATCGCGGCAGGAAAATTCACACTCAAAGACCTACACATCTTCCACAAGGAGGAGACCAGCGCCTGTCACCCCGGCATGCAGAACTTTGCCTGGCATGTCTGAGATATTCTCATCGGTCATGGAGATCACTTTGATTTCCTAAAGCCGCACCATGGTCAGCCGGACATCCTGTCTGCAATTCCCTTGAACAAAACAATCCAGATACCTTGTTGTGCGATGCAGATAAAACAATCCACTATTGACAGCAACATCAATGTCATAGATAGTTTGTTTAAGCAGGGGGGTATTGGTGAGCCTCAAGCTGCTGGCTTTGATCCATGTTATGATGTTGACATGTCGGAGCACGTTATCCTCATTCATGGCGACCTGTTGACCAAGGAGCGTCTGGATGCAATCCATGAAGCACGTTCAATAGAGGACACACCAAAACACTGCTTCGAATTCCTTGTTTTCATCCCTGGTCTTTTCCACTTCAAAATGGCGTGCGCAGATGCATTGTGGCGTATATGGATTAAGCCGAAGGAGGGGAGGAACGACATGAATAGTCTATTCCAGCATGTTGGAGTATTGAGGCCACATGAGAGTGGAAAATTCAGTACAAATCCTGGCTTCCGTCGTATGCATGATGTTGTTCACCATGACTTATGGGCATCCATCCTAAACTGCTGGGAGACAGAAGCTTCAGAGAGGAATAGCTCATGGGACTCACTTGAAGCATTTGCAAAATCAAAACCAATGCCGGAGATGATAGTCGAGATGTCAGAAAGTATTGTGGAGAAGTATATCGCAACCTCCAAGACAGTAAGCAGTGCAAACCAACTGCCAGCAAAGGAGCGAGATCGGCGATTTGAAAACCAAACACTGCAGAACCGTGATGAACTACTGTATGTCGACTTGTGTCATGCAATGAACTCGGGAGACATCGGTCGCGTTGAGGCTTCAATATTGCCATGGATCTACATGTTCAAGTTGACAGGAAAACCCAAATATGCGTATCAGATGACACGCTTCATGATTTACATGTGTTATGTATATACAACAGACCTAAGGTACACATTCACTGGTCAGTCAAGCCGTACACTTACCAGAAGCAACATCTTACCAGGCAAATAATACGTCTGAATTGGCTATGCAACCCGACGGGACAAGCATTCAAGTTTTGTCCTGTCGACTGGCTTGTTGAACGGAACAATCTGTATACGAAGGTGAGCATGAGCATGAAACACATTACAGCAGCCAAGTAAAAATTGAATTGGACCTCTAGGTGATTTTTGCTGGCAAGGGCTCAAACAGAACAATTCAACATATCATTCAAGAATTGCCACTGATTGAGTTATACCAAGCATGTCACGTTATGGTTGAGAATGGGTTTCACCTCCAAAACTGCACCATCAAGCATGCGCCACCCAACATGGTGAAAACACTAGAGGAACTCAAGCAGGAAATACAGAAATGCTCACCACACAAAACCAAAGCAGGTAGGACCGCTGACTATGCGGTTTGCAACTGGATTGCTGCAGGAATAGAGTTGCTGATGCAATACAAAGAAGGAATTAAAGAGGGTGAAGGTGATGAACAGGGTGACGGGGTTTTTGCGGATGATCTAATAGGTGATTAATGATGGTAGTGATAGAGCCTTCGCCAGAGAAAGTGTAGTAGGATAAGGATTGTTGGAAGAGAATTAAGGATGAGGGGCTTCGTTTTTGTTGTTTGATTGACGCAGCTGCTTTGGGGCCCACATTGGACAGTTCTGATTGGCAGCTTTTCATGATGGAAGAAATGATCAGCAATCCATTGAGACATAGCAAGAGAACGTACAATTATGCCCATAGGCTTTACACTTTGAGCACTGAGTTGGTTTACGTGCTTTCTTAGGTGCTACTCCGTTGGCACCAGTTTGTTGTGGTGCTAATGTTGAGGTGGAGGATGCAGATGGTATTGCATTTGCCAGTGCGTTGACCAGTATATGGGAACTGATTAGTATTGAATGGCTGGAGGGGGCTGGAGGAGGGAAATGCTTGCAAATGAGGCCCAGTATCATCTCCCCATACTCCTGAGTATAAACCCAATCTGTTTGATCCCTGAGTGCATTGATATCTGGTAGTTTAGCGTGATGAGAAAGAGCCAGGATATGATCCAAAGTGAGTCTGATAGAATGAGTTGAGGACCAAATAAATCATCATCTATAGCCTCCTCTACAGCTTGTTGTTCACGCCATTTCAGTAAGTCAACTCGGAGGGAAAAGTCGGCCTGCAACATTTTGTAGCTAGTAGAGATCTTGACTTTGCGCTTGCTGCTTGCTTTTGGGGGAGGTGCGACATAAAACAGCAAGAATGCCTCCAGATTGCACATGTCACAACAAAGCCAAGGCGTGCAAGAACGTTTCTCGCAACGCTCACAACAGTAATTTTGAACGTTGGCGTCATCAGGTTCTAACAAAAGTAAGCAATCATATTGCATGTTCAGCAGGCCATGAAGCACGTACTGATTAAATCATTCCCGAAATATTCATTTGCAACCTTGCGCCAGCACACCGATAACCTGTGTGCTTCCAGGAACACCTCCATTGCGGCCATTTCATACTCATCTTCACTGAGTCCAGATGAGGAAGGAAGAAGTTTTGAAGGTCTATTTGCCTGGCCTGTGGGGGCCTCACTTAGTTGAGTGACAGTTTCCTCCTCCGATTCACTTTCACTGTCCAAGTTATCACTCTCGCTATCTAGATGATGATCCATATGAGCCCCCCCCTCCATCTCCTGATCCTCATTGACCATGACCCGCGTCCGTTTGGTTGCTGAGCCCCCTTGTGAGTTAGACTTCCATTTGTTGCCTGCCTTTGTTTTGACCTTTCCTGCCTTATTGCGATAATTTTTATCAATAATGTATACACCAGTAGCTTCTGCACGTGGGCTACGAGCAGCACGACCAAGCCGCTGCATCAGCACGCATAAGCTCTTCACGTAGCCCCACTGGATAATTAGCTCAGTGTAGAGACTCACGTTTCTCCAGGCTCATATGGGCCAAATTCACGGCTTTTCACGACGCACTCGATATCCTTACAACGTGCTTCTCATACGACTTCCACGCAACGCGCGCTTTGGCGCGTACCAGCGCATTCAAGTGTGTTCGAGCGCGTTACAGTGCACTTTGTCGCATTTCCTTAGGATCCGTCGCCTGCCCTCCGCATGTCCTGTCCGAGTCCTCCAAGGTCCATTGGTGCATTTTCCCTTCTTCAGAACTCATACTCCGTCACGCAGGCACTAGTACTTATCATCATATCTCGTTATGGACCCTGACTTACCTCACCATTTACCTTAGTACTTCCTATTCAGCTCCAAGCCATGGGAACTCGCTTAGCATACCTACACGTCACCATGTTTGTTTTCCTGTCACTTACTTCCGCTCCACTACCATTGAAGTGTAAAGCTCGAGTTTCTATCAGAATACACCGGTTTTCCTTCCTATTGGCGCTTTGACACCTTTAAGTGTCTATTTCTACAGCTATCAAAGTCCTGATTCCCCCATTTGATTGTCATCTCTACTCGAAGCACTCCGTTGTGATCGCACAAAGTGCGCTTTGACATTGAAGCGCGCTTTTCCGCACTTTCCGCCTTATTAGCACGTTTAGGCGCCTTTAGCTAGCGCACTTCGCTTTTGGGTGCATTATTTGCCTCAGAGTCCCATTCAGGCTTCGAGACCAAACCGCTGGTTATAGATCCCCCTCACCTTTCACTAGAGGAATCTTTCTCAGTAGCAATCCCCTTGGGACAACTTTCCACTCATATCCAGAGGAGCACTTGAGAGCCCACTTCCCACTCTTCCCCCTAGCATGCAGCTATCATTCCTCGCCCTCATTGGCATCAGAGATATTCAAACCCTACGAAAGTGAGCAACACATCAGTTTAGACTTGATTTAAGATGGTGGCGCTAATAACGAACCATTCCTGCTGCATCGGTACAGCATATGCCCCATACTTCTCCCTTTCGAAGCTTATCAAGAGCGCTTGCACGGAACTCTGCAGTCATTCCTGAGTGAAACCACACAATCCTTTCCTGGAAATCAGAGGACAGTTGACCTCGTAGGAACATGGCCACCCGCTGCGTCTCACGCCGGGAATTGCAGAATATCAAGAACTTCGGTGGAGGAAACTCCTTCTCAAGCCGAAGTACGCGGTTGATATCGTGCATACTCTTTGTGGAGTACTGCATCTCAATAACAACCAAATGAATATTAGGACGATCATTTGATAGCCGGATTTTTGTAATGTTTTCGTGTCGCATATTCAGAGTTGCCATCACGTCCTTGAGGATCCTCGATGGCATAGTGGCTGAGACAACGTGAAATTTTATGTGAGAGGGAAGGATCCATCGAAGCCGACCAAGTTGACTATATTCTGGGCGGAACTCTTTGCCCCATTCACTGATGCAATGTCCTTCATCGATGGTGATATTAAATAAGTATGGGATGAACTTCTTCGATTTCCACAATGACTTCTCGACACGCTTGTCAGATATGACAAGCTCTGGACTGATTATAACCACTCGGTAACGTAGGTCCTCGATTTCCTAAAATCCAATGAGACAGAGTGCTGATGTTGTAATAAACTTGTGCTTACTTTGAATAATTCATCGCTCACGTTCTGTCCAGTGACATTAATGCAGGTAAGAACAAGCATATTCAACTCCTCGACATTCTGGTCTCCAAGGCCATTCAAAGCTGTGATAACAATCATGACTGCATTGCTGGTGAATAGAAGAGGGATCCAGAACGTCAATGTCTTTCCCGCTCCAGTGGGTGCAACAGTAATGACATCTCTGCACTTAAGCTGCTCAATTGCAGATTGAATTTGAAAGTTGCATGGTCTGATGTTGTATCTTCTCTCGACCATGGCTTTGATTGTCGCGTCGTCTGGGATGTCGTACTGTAGAGCAGACATAATGAATGACGGAATGAGATTCTGATTTACTAAAACGGGATCCCGCCGTTTCACGCGCTCGGAGGTTCGCTTATGGTCTCGCGTACGTTTTGTGCGCCCTTCAGGTGGGGGACAAACAAGGCCAACAATTGATGCCACAACAAGTTATGCCAGTCGCTGTGGGGAGGTTGTCTCAAAAATTGTCGCTTAAAATGATTATATAATTGTATGGTTCTATTGACAAAGTGGCTGCTCTACGATGTAGACTTACCTCCCACGCGATGGGTAGGAGTCTGCATTAACCCCAGTTATTTCGCGGTTAATTCAAATCAAGACGCACCAGTTATAACCTATTCAGTTATAACCCGGGTTAATAACAACACTGTGGCAAAGAACTACTCGAGCGTGGCCTGAGAGGCGTGTTTTCCAAGGCCGTCGCTCAAGTTGTCGTTGTAATGCAAGCTACTCGTGAGCCTGCCACTGCGTGTTCTGACAACGGCCTGGTAGATTGAGTCGTCATTTCAACGAACCAAACGCATTGAGCGCTCGTACCTATCCCAACGTCTCCGAGTGGTCTCCGTTCTACTGTACAACGCATCGTCCTTCCTCTGCATTATGAGAAGCTGTATTTCTTGCCCGCCCGACGTCATCGAATGAACACATGGAAAAAATGTACCGGTATGATGAGATTTTGTCCCCCCACTTGATAGTTACTTGCGATGAACAAGTCTGATAATCTCCTGCAACTACATGCTACTAAACTCTGCGGCAAGGCGGTCTACTGGAAAAAATTACGGTCTGACGTCTCCAACTTCTTGCAAAAAGCAATGAAAAGCTCCAAGAGGTTGATGTACCTTCCCTGGTCCTTTTCCTCTTCATTCACCCAAGATACGAACTCCTCGAAGCTGACCCAACCAGTGGGTCGTCCCAAAGTCCCAGCCAAATGGTGAGCTTTACCTGACTTCCAAATGTAGTATACCGCTTCAAAGATGAAACCTGCAAAGGGACACTGGGGTACTCCTTTCTCGTAACGGACCTGAGAGTGGCACGATGGCTCCTCTTTGTTGTGGTTGTAGTTTTGGGGGAGGGCGCATTTGAAGCAGTAAGTAAACCGTTGGAAGGTAAAACTTCCCTTGAAGTTATAGTACATCGAGTCAAGGGGGTTGCTTCCCGAGGAGCACGCACCCTTTGCATGGACCTGGCAGTCGATGACAAAATGGACGGGGCAACAATTCTGCAACCTCCTCATGTACCTGTCAAGGAGCAACGTGCGGTCCAATCGACCGTGAAGACCTGCAGTCACTCTGGCACTCCTGGTGGATGACGATGGTGCAGGAGCTGGAAGTGATGAGGGAGGGGGTGGTGCCTTGAACGCCTTGGATGCTATTGGTTGAGAAAACTTGACGGTACGTCAGCACTGCATCAAAAGACATAATGGAATTGCATCACTGAGTGGTGAGTTGGTTGAACCCTGCCAGAAAGGTTGACGGCACATTGAAGACCAAGTGGGGTATGAGCGGCCTCCATAGCATCGAGCGCTCTCTCCATTTGACAAGTTACTTCGGGAACCTTTCCGAACAATGCATCGCAGTCACCTGAGAAGGATGCTTGGGAGGACGACAGTCTGGAGAAAGATGATTGGGAGGAAGACGGTCGAGAGAAAGGTGGTCGAGAGGAAGTAGGTTGAGAGGAAGTAGGTTGAGAGGGTTGAGATGAGCTAGGGACCAGAATCTTGGGAGTGGTGTTTGTTGCAGATGAGGAAGGTTGCAACGATGCATCCTTAATCGCTCGCAAGGCAATACCTTGCATCTCGCTGGCAGGATCGCAGACGTCACACTTCACCACGCCTGGCCTGTCATTGCAACGGTATGCAAAACCCCTGCCGTCCATACACTTGATGGAGGTATACCTGCGACAGTCATTGTTAAATAGGACGTCATCCAAACCTTTGATGCAGTGGTAGTCTTGGTCGCTCTCGAACGAGGACAGACTTGTTTTCTGAGTGAGATAAAACGTATGTGCCTCGCGTCCATCGCGTCCGGAACGTCCAGACATCTGGTTCACTACCATAAGACCATACTCAACCTCGCTTATCACCACGAATCGCACTGAGCTTCGGTCTACTCCCTGAGCAAAGGCAGTGGTGCACGCCATGACTTTGGTCTCTCCGCTATCCCACCTTGTGAGGTTATGCGTTTTTGTGTTTCCTCCCATAGTGGGAAGGTCACTGTGAAAGACCGCGCATTGGATTGTGGTGCTGAAGTTATCTGCCTCTTTGTTTGAGTTGAAAAATACCAGCATGCGATCTGATCCGCTCATCTTCAACTGCAGATGGCGCACGAGGGACTGGAGGGATGCCTTGAAACGGTTTGGAAGGACGCGCAGGACATGAAGACCTATTTCTGGGCGATCTGTGCAGGTGCGATATATGAGAACCTCGTTGAGCTCCAGCGAAAAGACTTTCAAATAAGCAGCAGTGTTGGCTGGGGGGGACGTCGCGGAAAGCAAGTTGATTTGCTTTGGCCACCTGGAAAATTGTGCAGCGAGACGATGCCATGGTTCCTTGCGATCAGGATGACACACCAGGATGTCGTGGTGTTCGTCAACAAACATTTTCGTAAAGGAAGATCCCTGGGGCGATGCTATGAAGCTGAATACAAACAAGATGTGAGGTCAAGACAGCGGTCAATCAAGTCATGGCCACGTACACCTGGAACGCCTTGGAAGAAGCACTCTCTACCTGCACAAAGAGGATCTGAACGTCGAGGGGAACGTTCTTATCTTTGGTAAAATTGTGTGCCCTCAGCCCGAATTGCAGGCATTTTTCTACTTGTTCCTCTAGGAGAACGACAAATGGGCAGACAACAATACAGCGCTGGCTGGGATCAATAAGAGGGGCAGTCATCCATAGAGCGCTCTTGCCCCCTCCTGTCTTGAGGGTGATGATGGTGTCCTTTTTAGTACTCATGACGCTCATGATAGCCTTGCACTGTTCGCGAGACCTTTCTTTGGCAGCAGGGTCTTTAAACAGCTGTCTAAACGCAGCTCGCACCTTCTGCGTCCATCCGTCATCCTCTTCTTGGGAAAAGTGAGTCAGAATCTCTATCTCTTCGTCTTCGTCCATGATGATTAGATCGTCAAGCTGAGAGGAGCAAGCCTCCTTACGGAATGAACAGGAGTCTCGATCATCGTCAGTCAATAGACCCTCTGCTTGGGAAGAGGAAGCCGCTGCAAGAGATTTCCCGTGATTTTCTTGTTTGACGTGTAAGTCCGTGGCATCAAGGTAAGAGGTCGCTAGTCGAATGCGTTTTGGGGACTGAATAGGTCCACCTCTACCGTTTGACTGGCTTGATGATCCTTGAATACGAGGCCGTTTTTGACGGACTGGAGTTACGGGAGGAGCGGCAGGACTAGGGGAGGAGGACAAGGCAAGGCGTAAAGAGGAGGATGAGGACGAGGCGAGACGTAAAGAGGAAGACGGGGACGAAGCATGACGTAAAGAAGAGGATGAAGACTGAGTGGGCATCCCAGTTGTTTGACTGACAGGAGCAGTAGAAGGGTTAGTGAGACGGGAAGATGAGGATGAGGATGAGGGTTGGGTAGGGAATCTGGTGGGATGCTGGGCGTTGTTCGAGGCAGGGTCACCCATATACGTTATAACTTAGTTGAAGTTAGCTTAGATTGGTGAGCGGTACTGGATGCATACCTTCCGACGGAACTGGGGCACGTCGTCCAGTACCAATAGCAGATTCCGTTGCAGGAGCAGGAACAGGGCTCTGCACAGCATGGAGGATGGAGGGCAAGATGTTCTGGGTGATGGCGTCACGGAGTAGTGGCACCAAGTTTTCCTGCAGGTAAGTATCCAATACCACACGGACGGTGGTTGAGGTAACCTCAGAAATGGCCGAGACGTCGACTGAAGAGGATGATGCAGATGCCCTGGTCGACCTTCGCATTCGAATGGGCGCCTGGGGGTCGCCAGGACCGAGGCCACAGAATGTGTGCCATTCCTCTGACAGCCAGCGATGCTTCGCTATGACATTGTTGGTAAGTTCAGGGACAGCGCCGTGGACGGTGCCATAATGGATGTGGTCAATGTGCGTAGAGTGGTCTGCACCCTCAGCCAGGAGGTCATCGGCAAGAGAGAACGCGTGGTTGGGAGAGATGAATTCCCTAGCCATGGCAATGGCACCTTGTCTGAAGTCTCGCACACCCCAGGCGCACTGGAAATACTCTCGGTTGACTTGTGTGAATATTGCATACCACTCGTCAGGGTTGATTCGATGGCCGTTGTCCATGACGAGGAAGCTGTAATCAGGTGAGAATGAGCACGATGCAGCGACTAGGAAACCCACCTATTGTATTCATGCTGAACCTTTTCCCCATATGCGACGTATGCCAAGAGAGATTCTGCATGCCTTAGCCCTCCGGCGAGGAACTCCACCACCCACCTTCCCAATTTTGAATGGACGAACGCAGGAGTGCAAGGATCTCTGTCAGTAATCTGGGAGGTCTTGCTGTAGCCAGACAAGAGAACGACTTCCTGACCCTGAACAAAGACGTTTCGGTGTCGCTCGGCATTGGCGATTTGGTGTTGCAAAAATTGCACTGCTCTAGTAGATACCTGCGTTGTGATATAGAGCAGGTGGTACAGCGGCTTCCATACCTCGCCCGTACGGCGAAGGATGTCCTTTACTGCTGGCACGTCCCAGGCAAGACGACCTTCCCGATCCACCATGGCTAAGTGATGGATCTCGATCAGGTGAGAAAAAAGTTCCAGCCTAAGGGAGTCAAATTGTTTGTCGTTGGCGAAGGAATGGCCACGGATGGAGTTGGTCATGTCATCTGCGACGTGGGTGGGCAGCCCCTCTAGCATGGTGCGACCTTGGGTGAGCAGGAGGTACTTCTCCTCGACCCGTTCCAGGAGAGTCTGAATGCCTTGGCGAAATCTGGAGAGGTACAAGGTCTCCTGTCCGACCGTGATCCACTCAAAGTCAGGGTCGAGAAAGACCTTTGGCTCCCGTTGCTGATTCCAAGCCAAGGAGGAGGCATATTGCTGATACTCGAATAACATGTTGAAGGTGGTTGCGCGTCCTAGGGCTAAGACCTCCTGGTGAACCTTTATGATTCGTCTAAAGCACGGCAATGCAAGGACGAAGAGATTAGCAGAGCATGAGGGAACAAAGGAGTGGGACCACTGACTCGAATTGGGGAACATCAGAGTCCTTCTGGTACCACAGGGCGTGGGTGAGGCAAGTGCTGTTGACGAAGTACTTTAATTTTGCCAGGTCTGGTGTGAAGTCCGTCGACTCATAGAAGTTACCGTCACGTCGCAGAGCCTTGAACCATATAAAGCGCTGGATGACATTTGCCCAGTTCTCCTCGGCGTGGACGCTAGCACCATCCATCAAGGTCCATAAAAATTCGTGCAGCTTCTTCATGGCGTCGCCACCACTGCCTAAGTCAAGGTCATCACCGTGGTCGTTCTGATCGATGCATACCACAAATGCATCCAAGGCATCGATCTGGTTGGGGTGGAGACCGAAAGAGAAATTGGAAGGATGGTCTTGGGTGAGGTAAATCCGGATGATGGCCCGCAAAAACTGGACGATCAGCTCGCTATAAGAAGTATTTTTTTTTGAGATGGGACGCCAGTGATCTCTGCAGGGAGAGTAGGAGGTCAGAGGGTGCATAAGGGCGTTGATTGGGAAAACTTACGAATCTTTCTTGACGTCATCACCGTGTAAGAGGAGTTTGCAGATGGTAAGTCTCTGGGGATTACCTTCCAGGAGCTCGGGCGCCATGTGAAAGTAAGCCTTCACGAGAAAGTCCAAAGTGGTGAAAAAACCATAAAATTCTTCTGGGCGGTGCTGACCCTTGAGGGTCTCCAAAATTTTGACCTGCGATTTCTGGCAACGAACGTCCTGCATGAAGCAATCCCAGGCCATGACTTTAATGAGGGACCTTCGCTCCTCATCAGGGACTGCGGTGCGTGAGACTGCTGGAATATCAATGGAGTGAGGGAAAGAATTGGCGATGACGTTTCTGATGTCGATGGCTTTTTCAGAAGGGGGGGGCTGGATGACCACGAAATATACTCGACCTACAGACTCAAAGAGCTGTTGGATGAATGCTTCCTCGTAGGTCATGACGTCCTTGGATACCCTATGGGCCTGTCTCCCATGGTTTATCATGGTGGGGATGCTGGAGGCGGCATAATGACAATCAGCGGACTGCATGCATACCATGCCTTTACGCGGAGGGGCTATAAGCTGAACTGGAGGGCCTTGGTGGGCGGGGATCTTAACATCTTCTTGCCGCAGGTAGATTTTGTTTTTGAGGACGAATTCGTCCAGAGATTCCATCTGTTTCGGGGTGAGGGATTGGCGGTGGTGAGTCTTGCGGTGACCAGGGACCATAGCCGCAGTGAGAGACTTCTTGCAGCCCATACAGATAAAAATCTTGATACCAGTGTGCATGCAAAGACCGAACTGATCCAGAAGGCAAGTGGAGAGAAGATAATCTTCACCTGGGAGAAGGACGACATGACTGTTCAAATCTGGAGAGATAACTTGGGCTGACGAAGATAAGCTATGAGATAAAACAAGGAGACGAAGACTGACTGGTAGGAGGTTTATTGTCCGGCAGCTGAAGAGGGCCTTCAGGAGGAGTCACGGTTGAGACGGTGCGGGCTGAAGGCAGAGCTGGGGGAGAGATGGAAGGGATTAGAAAATGACGGAGAAGGAAATAGAAAAAACGAAGCACCATTGGCACTGTTAGCAAGGATGCTGTGGGAGAGATTAGGCACTTGAGGACGGACGGCTGGAGGAAGGAGACAAGTTAATGAAGGGGTGAAGAGGGAGAGAGATCAAGAACGCACCGGCTTGAAGTCGAGGAGTATCTTGAAGACCAGAACTGTTTGATTGAGGGGCCAGGGCTGGGAGGAGAATATCTTTGTCTGAGAAGGTGGATGAGGCAACAGAATAAGGGGAAATAGTGAGAGACTCACGATGCTCAATGTGGGTCTTAAAGGTGGACCTCCTTTTGAATGCGCCTGAGCAGGCAGGAACAGGACAGTGAATCATGCCATCAGAGGCACGGGATAAGTCATACTCGACACCAGAAATGAAGACCAGACCAGGGTGAGAATTGTGCTCCCAGAAGCGTCGGTCAGACATGATTGAGTGATTCAGAAACTAGGATTGCAAGGCAGGGCGCGAGATAAAGATCGAGAGGGACAAGTCGAGGGACATTAAATACCAGAATTCATGTTGAGGGAGACGAACGGGGGGGCGAAGAACTCATGCAGGGATGAAGTGGGCCTCCACCGTTTGAGTTTCTCCATCGTTTCTCGAGCCTCGGGTGGTCACGGTCACTGGTCTAAGGAACCTGCCGTTATGAAGACAGCATGGATCTCGGTCGTTTCTCAAGCCCATTTTTGGATCCTTCCACCATGTTGTTGAAGCGAACGTTTCTCGGTCGTTTCTCGAGCCTGTTTTAGGATAGTCGACTAGGATTGAATAAGGTGAAAATACGTACTGGCACTAGAAGGGCCTCAGGCCGGCCAACTCGGAGGTACTTACACGACTCGGGTACAGGCCGTTTGACTTTGCAGGTGTTTATTCCAACACACTAACTTCTTACAATGAGGTTACTGCCATTGAAACTGTCACTGTACACGATTTAGAGGTGGGAGACGGGGGGCTATGGCGGCCCCTTCAAAGCATCATATGTGGCAGTAACTCAGGCATCGGTTACCGACTTACCCTGACAGGCGCTTGTGTTGGACGTATTACCTAAGCATCAACAGCATACCAGCATTAATATTACATGTGCCACATCTAGTACATGTCTGCGTCAGGCAATGATGTCAGGGTCTACATGATAGTACAGACAATTCCGGGAATGCTCCAAGAGTACTGGAAGAAAAACAAAACAAGTGAGAAAACAACGCAACTCGGACAGGACAGTCTAGACAGACACAGAGAGGGTGGGAAGACTCTTGGATATGATGCGCTGGATGTCGGAGCTCCGAGTCAGCGCATTGTGGTGCTCGAACCTGAATTGTAAGAGAACGATGCAATCTTAGTAGTACTCATGACAGGACTGTCCCTCCAGAGTAGAGCGTTGATGTAATCAGCAAGCTGGAGATGACGGGGTGCTGGAGAATTTGGATTTTCACCATCTGAGTCGAACCAAAGTTCGCTTCCTGCGCTGAAATGTGATAAAAAGAGACGTGAGAAGCGTCATACCTAGAAATTGTGTATTGCCCACCTGATAACACCAATAGAAGCCCAACCGAGGTTGAACATTCAAACTGGCGAGTAGATACTGACACTGACATTGAGAGATGTGACACCGATCAGACCATCCAGCAATGTCACAGTATGAGTTGTAAGGCCAGATGTTGCAAATCGAGCAACGTCATGAATTGAATTGATGCACCCAGGAAGGCAAATTACAATGAATGCTCAAGGCAATTCCACACATTGTTCTCCATCGACACGGGAAAATCGGCCAAGAAGTGGAATAGGGACGCCCCGGGGGAAGATCTCGCGTCAGTGCAGTAGTAAGGTATGGCAAGTATGCAGAGAGCGTGTCGTAGGCACGGCGAGAACGTGACATTGATGTCGGGCGCACACGCCTTCAGATATTATAACCCAAACAAACTCAATTCAGATGCTCTGGTTACTCCTCGACTGATGTAACAACCTCTTGGCAAACGCAGCTGATGATCGAGGACCATCGGTTTGATTTCAACACTTTGTGTTTCGAGCCGTCTTGGATAACCCGTGCTGAGACGGAGGATATGTGCCGATCCAGTGACAAACTCCAGGCAGCCATGAGCCGGGCAAACAGTTTGCCAGAAATACTATAGACAAAGCTGAATACGTACCGTGTGTGATATGCTGGATGAGCACTGTGAGCAAGAAATGGACTGTAAGCAATGTCTCGGCAGGAACTAGAATGGTTGCCGCATTGAATGTAGTCATCCAACAGCTTCGATACGCGCGACTGCAGCTCCCGTCGTCTGATGAGATTGAGGATTGTGATTGGTGCCCCATATCGTGCAAAAAGGTCGTCGAAACGACGTGACGCAGCGACACAGAATGGATCTACAACGCTGTCTTTGGATGCGTCAAAACAAAGGTAAGTTGAAAGCCACAATAGACGTACTTTCAATAGTTGGTCGAGGAGCCATGCTAGTAGTTTCCTGTGTCCAATATATGAGGATGCTGCCCCTGTACTAAGAAGACTGACGTCGGATCATGACAGTTAGTCCGCACCTAAACATAACTAGTATGTTGAGGGCTCGGTCAACGTTGATATTCGCCCGTTGATGGACGGTGGGAGGAAAGTAAAAAGTTGACATTCAAGTGCTTTTGGTATCTCGACTTTGATGACTATGCGGCAGAATGCCTGCGATCAATCGTACCGCGGTCGCCTACTTGGTCGTGAAATGAGAAATGGGCTACTGCCAGTGAAATCTTCAAGGCTGGCGCACCCATCTTCCCGTGTGGAGACCAGCGACGAGATTCTATATGCGAGCGTCTGATGGGCTGTGATCAAGACACATGCAAAGCGTGTTGATAAACTGGACGTGAGTCTCAGAATTCCACGGCGTATCAACCGCGACGATGATATCAAAGAGCGCAGAACATTCAAGATTCTGCTGTGCGGGTGCGAGGAGTGGGGATATACTGAGTCATTGCCGCGAGCGTACTAAGGGACCGTGACAGTCCAGCAGCATGCCAAAGCAGTGATTGCGACGACCGTTATCAGATAGTGTGCGTATGAAGTTTTCGTCCGGATAATAACTGACTACAACAGCAGCATTGGCAGTGAGCGTAGTCTGTGCGATCGTGATCGAAGGCAACCCAGTGCTATCATTTTCGGTCGCTGAAGCGATCCAACTGCAAATATCCAATGTGATCTGCAATGTGAATGGAGGACTTCCAGGTGGATGAAGCATGCAAAGACCAATCGCTTGTTTGTGTGTTGGTGGCTGAAGCTTCAGCTTGAAGGGTGATCTGCTTTGCCAGTGCCGAGCGTAACGCGTGGTGGTGTAATTTTTCAGCTGGGAACGCCGTACTTGGATGGGGTGAGTGGGTATGTTGAGGAGTGTGTCAGTCGACGGAGGTGGTAGTCGAGGATAGGAGAATGGAAAGCCAGGAATGAGGGTTGGTTTGGAGATGCGAGTTTGGCGAGTTGGGAAAAGGTGGATGATGTTAGGTATGCTTGGGTAGAAGCTAGACAACCAGTTTGCAGGATTAGCTATAAGGTATCAGCGTCATACTAAAAAGAGTGTTTTGAGGTGCGTGCATACCTGGTTTTCAAGTTCCTTACACAATTAGTGTCTGTCCAGCGCGGAACTCACCAAAGAATCCAATCAACGAACGCGCCATATCATCTTTAGCCAGGTCAACGAATCCAGTAAGGCTTTCATCTCTTTCAAACCGTGGAGTGGAGTTTCGCCTACACCAGACTCTACAAGCACCTCCCTATCTGCTCTCGCACGGACCTCTTGAGTCGACTTGCGATTGCAGATCACTTGCATCTGTGAAGATGCGGTCTATCGCTACGTGCGCTTGGGATACCGGTTGAGCACTGGCATCATACAGTGCACACCGCATTTGCATCAGAGCACTCCGAGCGGATATCTAACAACAACGACGGCGAAGACAGCGCGCGTGTCCACTCCTTCGACCCAAGCATCCCCGCCAAAACATCACGAAAAAGCGATATGACCCCGTACAATCGTACTGGTATTTCTGAATAGCAGCAGAAGACATAGGATTCGACTTTCAAATAGAGTAGAAACGGCTTCCAATGGATGAATCATGATAGGGTCCACATCAAGAATATTTCCGGAGATGGAATTTGCGACTGCCAGTTCCTTGGGAGTGTAATCTAGAACATGTTTGGATGCGCTAGAAGCGGTAAGGAATAGTATTTTTTTTTTGGTTTTCGAACTATCGGTGTTGAGCTTTGGAGATGCCGGTGAGGTGAGGGTGGTCACTAGAGACTCAAGTTGTTACGGTGGGCTGCAAATGAGGATTAACATGTCTCCTTTGAGGAGTGTATTATATACCACGGATGTATTTTTTCGTTCTGGTACGCCGTTTTGATCAGCGGATAACACATAATGAACAGTCGTTCAGACTCTGCAAGCCGCGGATGATATAGTTGCACATAATAACATTCGGCGTCCTACAATGACAACTATTGTAATTTCTTACCGCAATGAATGGCAAGTATGAGCTGTCAAAAAATGATTCTGATTGACATCCGACGAGAAAAAAAGAGTTGAGGGTTGGCGTGCGCGCCGTCACGATATGCATACATTTGAAACATATAGCTATTTGTTGCACTTGTCTGGTCATCGGATCAGTGCCAGATTTACGACGATCCCAAGCATACACCGCACAACAAGGAGCAAATCCTCAACTCCCGAGATCTGTAATATTATGATCAGTATTACACATGATCAGTCTAATGATCGCCTTACATCAGCTATCGATATCGGACTTGGAGTCAGGGGACCCCTCCATGCTATCATCACTGTCTTCCTCAGGCAAACATAACTTGTGCGCAAGATCCTCGATGTGATCAAGTTGTATGTCAGAAACAACGAACGACGTAATATCGCAGTTATATGCGCCGATATTGAAGTCTATGTCGATATTAAGGTCTTTCGAGGTACGTCCAACCAAAAGCTTTTTGAAAGAGGAAGCTTCTGCATCGCTACGGGCATATTCTAGAGCGTCCTGCTCCAGCATTGTTTCAAGAAGTTTTGTGCGCTGAACCGATGACTCGATCTCCCAGGCCGTTGTCAGAACACGCAAGCGCTTGGATTCGCGGGTAGCTTGCATCGCAACGACAGCTTGAGCGACGGCCTTGCCAGACATACCTCGCAGGCCACGCTCGAAGAGTTCTTTTCCCTGGTATAAGATGTTTATCATTGTGAAATTGTAGCATTGAAGGCTAACTTACCGCCCGGACATCAGCCAGAGTCATGTCAGTCTCGCCGGAGCATTTTCCGACAGACTTGTTACAAAAACGAAGTTCGATTGCGTTAGGCTCGTGACTATTGTGCTTGTTATAAGGCTTGAACTGTCTTTTTGCGCGTTGCACATAGTAAATCATGTTTTTCGAGGGGGGGAGGCCTGGAAGTGCACACAGCTCATCTTCTGACGAATCATTTGTGTCGTCAGATGATGGTGATAATGGTCGGCGACCCTTGAAGCGTCTGAATGGAGCTCCGTGTCTCATTGGTATATCACGACGATATTGTCGTTGATGGTCAGGTGTCTGGGTACCATCGGGCCAGAGTTGACAGGATGAGTCTTCATCCTGACGAGTAGGACTAAGTTGTCCGATAGAGCTCGGGGGAGTAAAGCAGGCGTGCATTCCTAATTAGCCAGGAGTGCCTCCGGTGACTAGTTGATATCAACAAGTTTTTGGCGTGTGTTGGAAGAGGTCGGATGAAGGTTTAACAGGCGCACAGATTGTACTAGGCCAGTATGGGATTGAAAAACCCTCCCAGTTAGGGTATTACCTACAGCCATCACGATGAATTAATTTCCCTGAAAGGAGTTTAAACTTGGACGTTATCTGGTAGTGTCATTCAGCTGTTACGCTGAGGAAACATGACTGAAATGGCACTTGGTGGGCACAGGTAGGCGTTCATCATAATGACAGGCACACGAATACCAATATGGATCATTACCCTCGCCGTATTAGGCTAAGGCTTGCAGGCCTGTGCCGCCTGTTGCCCGTCCCAACACATTAAATACTCGAATTCTCAATTGAAACTTGAGCTTGCCGAAGTTCTACATGTAATAATCTAAGAATCTAGAACTTAAAACTGAGTCGTGTGCGCATCATGGTCACTGAGATCACCTCGTTACAGAAGTTCCAACTGGAATTCCTGTCCGATTTCAAAATTTTCTGACACTTCCGAGTCAGAGTTCAGGGCCTAGTGGCCATGACAGGGAGGCCACCGGTTCAAGAGTGTAGTAGCTAGTACTCGGAGTGAAGGAGCGGACTTACTAGTAGTAGTCTATAGTTTTTGCTCGTCTTAGTAAGCCGCCTCACTCATGACACTTGCACAGTTGCATTGACCTGGGCAAGCTTGAAGCTTTGACTCTCTGAGTCAATCTGGACTCCTAAATTTCGCTCGGATTGAATTCCACTCCGAATCTGGGTAAGTCCTAGTCTTTGTTACTGCAGTCGCCACGATGCATTAGCTGATTTCCGATCGATTTCCGGGATCATTGACTGAAGAACGAGAAGAATTTAAACTTCAAGCTCAATGTGGCGCCGGCCAACTTCAAGTGGCTTGCCATGGGACTAAGATCGCCTTCAAAGTTTCTGTTTGGCTCATCGCGGTATTTCCGAAGGTCGCTGCTGTAATATCACGATCCTGACCATTTCAGAAATTTAGTGTTCATCGCCAGCCCCAGGAGGCTTGCAAGAACTATGACTCGTGCGGCGGGGAACGGTCTCTGAGAAGCACTGGCTATAATCGAAATTTGTAATGTTACAATGATCAATTGTCGATTGGCAGTCACCAGGAAAGTCAGACATGTAATATGCCTCGTTATCATTACGAGTATCTGATGAACTCGGCTCAGAGCGACTCATACGCGGCTGAGAGACTGGGGCCGCTGCTACTTATGACAGGCTCTGAGTCGTCCAAGGGGTAGCCCGTATCAGTAGTGAGTAATGTTAAATATCAAAGTTTAGTATAAATTCTGACTCTGCCAGGCCGACTCGGAGTCACCGCGACTGCCATCATATCCCCTGGTGGCATCGATATGATTCTTCCGAGCTCAGATGAAGAGTCACATCGTCAAAAGCTTGGTGACGACAGCCACAGATTTGGCAGCTTTGTGCCACCCCCAGACGTCAATTTCGACATGTGGTACGAAGGTATGATGCCCCCAGGAAGCTGGTCTGACATGCCCGGGCCAGCCTCAGGTATGGCACCGAAGCTCCATAAAAACGAGTTGGACGCCCACAGCAGTTCAACTCCAGCCAGTGGGCCAAGTCAAGCTGATCACACCTCCGCGGAAACTCCATTAACCCCCGAAGATTTTCTGGCCATAATCATGAGCTTCGATGACCCAGTTGACAGTGCCGCGGAGGCTGTGGTCACGGGAGCCCCGCATTTGCACACCCTTGGAGTCGCTGGTGGTATTCACGGCCGGTTGTCGGCCTTACGCTTTGACTCGCCGCCGTCATCGCGCAGTCGATACACTCCGTACAAATTGCTCGACAGGCCTGCCGTTCACCGCGGCAGGAATCACCATGACCTCGGCGACGATGTAGGACAACGCGACGCTGAGCTATCATGTCATGACCTGACACCAGGTATATCGCCTGCCCCAGCATCATTAGCTATTCCAGTAGCAGTCGCGGTACCAGTACCAGCCACGGTATCACCTCCTGTAGCACCATTGTCTACAACATTCGTGTCGTCGCTACCTATTACGGGGTGGTCCGGTCTTGAGACCCTACCCCAGGTGAAATCGAGAGCCAGAGAAGGCATGAAACGGTCGATGTTCAACGGCTCGTTTCTGCTTTCAACTGAGACAAGATCAGAAAAGGCGCTTGCCAGCCTTGCTGCCGTTGTAGCTACATCAAATAATCGTAAGTCTCTCACGAAATTCATTTTAAACTGAAAACTAATATCGAGAACAGCTGAATTCGCCCAATGGTCCGCCGGGGATGATGCCAAAAAGGACGCTGGAAAAATTGGTGACACCGCGAAGAATCTGAGGAGAAGATTCATGGATATAGTTCGGACGGCGGTTTTATCTGGCTACAATTTGAATGAAGCCTTGGAAACCCAACCGCAGCCAGAGATGGTGCTTATCATCCGTGACCTTCTCCAAGCCGATGCGTTCCTGAACGGAGATATCGAGGTAAGTCATTCTTCTGACTCCTCCTTCTAATGCTCATGGCTTTACGGTCAGGTGGGAGGACAGATCATGCACGGCGTGCCCTTTGCAAATATTGTAGTGCGACATTTTACGCAGCACGTGCTGTTCCACCAACTTAAGCTCCACCAATATGTTAGCCACGACCGAGACCTTGGGGCATTGTTAGCCTTCATTGGAACATTGTTTGAGTGGGTATTGAAAGAACTGTCCACTGGTGTCTTCTTGCCCAGAGACTTTGACCTGTCCCCCGCTAGGGTAGAATTCGACAAAAAGCTAAATGGTCTCTACACGTCAATGGCGAGCGATGTACGTAACGCCCTAGTTGCAGGTATTTACACCCGAGGGGGGCAACCACTGCCTTAGGGGAGTAACAAGTAACGTTCATAGGCATTCAGAATCAAAGTCTGGTGTTGCTTAGACGAGCCGAATGAATTACGGTACTATACTTAGGCAAATGTATATGCAGGGAAAATTACAAGGCGTGCGTATAGAGTCCGAGAACGAGAAAGGAAATTTATCTATGGTGACGATGTTGAATATCCAACAAACCGCTCAAGGTATCATGATGGGGACTTACTCCAGGACGTAGATAGACAACAAGAACGAAGTCAGTAAGCATATCAGCAGTCGTGAAGTGAAGAACTCTACTATATCAAATAGGAATCCAAAATCTGGGATCAAGTTCAATGCCGACGTCAGGCGGGCAAGAAATACAGCTTCTCATAATGCAAAGGACGATGCGTTGTACAGTGGAACGAGACCTCTCGGAGACGTTGGGATAGGTACGAGCGCTCAGCGCTCAATGCGTGGGTGTCTCATACCTTGGATGAGAATTGGAAGACTTTTGCCATTCCTGGCCACATGTGATCCTTATCATTTGTAATCTTGATTATCTCTTCTGGAACTTCCACGATCTCAGTCAGTCACTCAATACTTGCCACACGAAGTCAACACTCAGCGCTCTGCGGCATCTAACAGTCATGCCTACACTAGTGGCACAACCTGACAAACATCCTTACTGCACTCCTTTCCCCCCTAAGCAGTCCTACAAACACTTCCAAGCTGGAAGCAAATCCACTCTACAGGCTACTGGTACCTACAAGACAACACATCCCATAAAACTAGCATCCCCAGGTTTACCATTGCAACACAGTACTGAACAATGCATAGCATCCATGAAACCGTCCCTGCTTGGGAAAGAGCATGCATCAGAGAACAAACCAGTTGCACAGGTCCCTCCTTCTGCAGATGCCAACCCATTGCGTGATGTCTGCCAGCAGTCCTTTGTTTCTGACCGCACTACCCCCAGTATGTTCAATGAGAATTAAGAGTTTAATTAACAATATTCTGATTGGATTGAAGATGTACGCAAGATATTGGATTATTTATCGAAACCAACTTTACACGTATCCCGCAAGGTATGTATTCTTGAGCCTGAGTCAGCGAACGTTGTGCTTCTATGCTTACCAAATATTACAGGAGTTCCACGGTGTCGGAGCGCGAGAATTCAGATTAATAGAACGCATGGTGGGAGACACGGCCCGAGTGTCGAAGCCTAGGTAAGTCATTGCATCTGACTGTTTTAGGTAATACTAAATTGTCCCAAAGGCTAGCTTACGATTACAACACGCACATCCTCATCGCTAACATGCCCACTGTTCTCCATGAGGCGTCCTTCAACCATGTGATGGTTTTTGTCGGTAAATTCATCAACGATCTTCCCTACGATGACGACGTTATTGATCCAATGATCCAAATGGCTTGGTCGCTGAAGACCGCGAACGGATCAGTGGTACCAGACATGGTTGTAACTGTTAACGCTGTGGAGGAACCCACGCGAGTGTTAATCCCCTTCGTTGGAGAATGTGCTCTCTCGGAGACTGACGAGCACATATTCGGAAAGGCAGAGGATATTATCTTAGCGCATCCAGAAGTCATCTGTATGGTTGTTGTGCTAGTTCGTGAAGCTGCAGACTATGCTGCCCCCAGTCCTGATTCCACCGCCTCGAAGACTCTCTGTGACCCGAAATCCCTCACTCTAGAAGAATTCCTCGACCTACGCACCACGCCACGTTCAATCGGCGAGCCCATCGTAATGGCTGATCACACCTGGTGTCACCTCTCTTCGGTTGAGTACTTCGTTTGGGTGAAGAGAGATGATGGATCACCGATCAATATCCGTTCCCAAGATCCAGCGGACATGGCGTACGGGGTAAGTGTTTTCATCGATTTCACCCTTTCGATCCGATGTGAAAAATTTGAGCCAGACCTTGGTGCCCGAGATAGCCATGGATGCTGTCACGGAGATGTTTGAACGAGGGTTGACCAAGATGAAGGATTACTTTGTCGATTTCCAGAAGAGGCTTGAGTCTAGCCTCGACTGCGCTGTTCTCGCGGAAGCCAGAGTTGAGTTACATACTAAGTGGCGCCTCGCCTTCAAACGATTCCTGAATGCTTCGGATGTCACCGCCCACAAGCGTTATCTCGCCTGGCACGGAGGGAATTTCGGCGAGGAGGGCAGCGATTCTTCTTACGTAGATTCAGAGCAGGCAGATGAAGAAGAAAAGCCGGTGACCGTTTCAACTTCCGACCGCAAGCGTGCAAGCACAGCACCGCTTCCCTGTTCTAGGTTCAAAATCCAGAAGTCTTAACGCTGATCATACGATTGAATCGGTTCACGTATTTTGAATCTTGACTCGAACGGGTCACGCTGTAGAGATATGTAGTTGCATCATAGTAACCATCCGGATCGCGTCGTTCATAGTTGGCTGCCGCATCTGTAGTCCTTACCCCTGACTGTTCTTTAATGTGCCGATGCAGCTGCTGACGTTGCCCGCGACCCTGCTGAAGGGCGCCAACAATGGCATTTCCAAGGCAATAAGGGCGTTTGATGATATTATTCGTCCCGGGGGAGGCTAGTCGATCGGATGAAGTACTCTGGTATTTTTGTTTGAGGTTATGGACCAGGAGTGTTGTGATAGATTACTATACATGCTGGCATGTACATTTCTCGGCATCCAATGGACATTCTTGAAAATTCAATCGTGCTTTGTTCACCGTCTATCAGTGTCACTTGACAATGCACGAGTCCAAGGTTTGTAAGTCGCATACGAAGTGATCTTACAATGCCTCAACGCGAGCATGTTTCGTTTCAACAACATTATATTTTTACAGAACAGCCGTGAACAAGATTGACTTACAGTTCTGCATCTTCGCCTTTGTTTTTCCTAAATCATGTACGATTTCGTCCAACATTTCGACGAGTACCTTACCTCCTAACGTAAATGCAGGTCATAAAGCGCCTTTCTTCCTCCCCCCGATGCATAAAGCCATAACACGCATTCCCCGGTTCAACGCCCAAAATGCATTACACGCCCCTTCTGTCCAGCTCGCATATTTCCCTGACACTCCCCACCTTGCTCATCATACATTTGACATTTTTCGCTGTCACTCCTGGTAGAGCAACTCCTCTGCAGCAGCGTCGATGCCTGCGCCCGCCTCTGGGTCTTCCTCGGCGCCGATTGCAATCGCGCGGTTAGGGTCAGGCGTTGGCTTTGAGGTCGTTAAATATATCTGCTGTACCATAGGGGAATGATGACCAAATGATTCGAACACGAGGGAAGTGGAGCATGAGGAGAACAAGTTTAGATTGAACAGAGGGTGGAGCGCGATCAGAATCCGTTGGACCTGTTGATTTCTTCGCAGGATATTTGTCCGTGGGTTTAGCATACGATTTCGCTGATTCTGCTGTGGTCTAAAAGACAGGCGAGGCGGTAAATATTTGGAGATCTGTCGTACAAGATGTACCTCAAGTGAGAACGCTTTGTTTTCCTCGGACTCGATGAGTAATATAGGCTGTTTATAGTGCACCGACATCAACTCGCATTGTGTGTACCTGCGACTCATCAGCGACGAAGAAGCATGAATCCGAGAGACTTACAATCGACCGCTATTGAAGCTCGCTACTAGATCAGGTATGCTCTTCCTCTCGACGCAAATATCTGGTATGAGGATATAATCCCCAAGAGTCAGCGTCGCCGGAATAACGAGCAGGCCAGATGCGTGAAGAAGCGAAGGTAGTGTGGAACGGAATTCGCACATGTCGACAATTACCTGTGATGCCACTGTACTCAGTTCCTTCCTTCCGCCTGCGAGACGGGTGCTGATTGTTTTGATGACTGTATCGCTTTTCCCAGCGTGTTTGTCCTCGAAGATCGGCACGAGCATAGACTAGATATGGTGATGAACGACTTGCACCACGCTCAAGATAGTGAGCTAAACGACGCACTCCGCGTTCCTTAATCAGCTTCTCGAAAGACTCCTTCTCGCGCCTCAGTCCGGCAGGGTACTTGCGCTCCTCGCAAGAGAGTTGGTACGGACGCCAATACCAGGGTTCGAGTTTCTGTATACCCATCCAATTGCCACATTAAACTCAAGGGTGTCAACATCACTTGGATGAAAGACTTACCTCGATGCGCCTCACGAAATCAAGGTTGGATTCAAACATCACGATAAATCTCGACTGTAGTTCTGCGAGAATCTGGTCGTCCATGTCATCGGTATATGCACGCACAACAACCATCTGTGAGGGTGCAAGCAAGCCGTAGTGCGTGTCAAAGTCTATTTCTGCCTCGCTTGAGAGAAGCGCTTCGAGGAGGAGAGCGCCTGCATCAGAGGAGACAAGGAGGTCTGAAGGTTGACTTGCGAGACTGAATCCGATCTTAGTGAGGAGTGCACAAATACAAGTATCCCAACGCACAAGGCTGCAATCTCATCTGCATCGTCTCTCGACTCCACTTTTGGGTCGACAACCGCTGGTTTACTTAGTGCAACAATCATTGGTGCATTGCCACGCACCCTTCTCCGATGCTCTTGTCTTGTCTTGTCTTGTCTCGTCCTTCCTCTTCAAAGCCTCACTAAGCTCGCCCTCAAGTTGCAATGATGGCTGTGGCTGCGGGGCAGAAAACTGAGCTGGTTGATGCCTGGGTTGTTTTTGTCTGGCGTTCTCGCCTTTCCGATACAGGTGTCTCGGTAATTTGCGCTCCATCACGGATCGCCCACGAGAGCCTTTCGGAGCAGTGCCGTCCATCTCCCCAAAGAACTCGGTGACAAGGGTAGAAGAGCGTGGAGAGGAGATCATGACAAGTACCGTGTTTGTCCCGCGAGTTGGCGGACCCGACGCGCGTCAAGCACGAAAATTATTCGGTCAATAAGACTTACGAGTCGACAATGCCTCCTGTCTCATCAACTCTTCCTCGATTTCTTGAAGTATGTCTGCATGGAGATCCCACTTTGGAAGCTCTTCGAGACCTGGAGACATGTTATCCGGAACCAATGGTTTCTTCTTTTCCTTCTGCTTCCCGTTTATCTCTACTATTGCTTCCCGTTATGCCATGCGCCTCATCAAGTGCAGCCCATGCATCTTCATCGTCAACGTCAATAACATAAATTGCCTCTCGGGAACCGAAGCTGTGGATTTTGGAGAAGTAAGGTTATAACACCGTCGTTTCGCAGTGCTAAAAATGATGTTGGCCGCATTGGTGAGCATCCAAGGGGACTGGTGTTGTTTAACTGCACCAGTTGCGGTTGTGGTATTCGAGGCTACGAGAGTTTCCAGGTATGCGTGAAAAGCGAGCGCATCATAGAACAGTAAGTTCCTTGATGGAGAGCCCAGATCAGTGGCGGTATAAAATGGACAGCAGACGATAACACAGGAAATATAGTGAATAGCAGAGACCGAGTGTGAAATCAAGAGTAATAATCATGATGAAAACATACATTAATAGCCGTCTGAGCGTCGCAAGGTCACCCACCAGTTGCTTCGTCCGTGGACCGACCTTGTGTCATCAAAGGAGCGGAAGTATGCAGACTCTATTAACATCATCAAGCTCAAGCTGTGAGATGAATGAATGAGGACTAGTTCAGGTGCAAATAAGGCCAACTTAAATGTGCTTACCGTCGTGTTAGATCTCTTGAGCTCAGAAAGGGTGACAGTCATACATTGGACTATCGCATGGTGAATTGCCTCCACAGGCTCTGTAAGATGCTGATGCAAATCGGTGACATCTGCTTTATGGGTTTCGAGCGTGTGCCTGACGTCTTCGTGAAATCTGGAGCAAAAAAAGAGAAGAAAGACGGCAACAAGAGCACTAGAAGGTGAACAACACGAACATCAGTGAGGAAGGAGGTCACCCACCGTGGATATATATGAACGTGTCTCGATTGAAGCTCCTTCATGATGCTCTTCAGCAGAGACATACCACTGGTGATATGCTCCGATTGGTCTGATAATGCTTTGAGAAAGCCAGCCTTATTCTTCTCTCGATACAGCCGGACAATGAACGCCTTAAGGGAGAGAGCAGTAACCCTAGGGATGCAACGATTCATCACCGAGTACAACACTGTTTCAGCATGTAAAATGATTATACCCGTTATGAGCTCCGTCGGGATGTCGGATTGCAGCATGTCAACGATAAGAATGCGGGAGGTGACAGAAATGAGGCTGCCATTCTTGTAGAGGTTCTGTCTGCGAGCGTCGTGTTAATATGCTGCAGAAGAACAACACGAATAGTTACGAGTCGTTCTCAAAGCGATCGTTTTTCACGATAGACATGAGGGACTTATCTCACTTTCCCATCTCATAACCCACAATTCGCAATCCAGGCCGCCTGCACCCCATGATACCCAGTTCATCCCCAATAGTTGTCTCCCCTTCTGGTGAGGTGCTCAATAGAAAAATAAGAGTCTGCTTTGAATCGTATATTTGCATGAGCGTGCATATGATACGACGAAGTCCAAGTCCACGGGAAAGGATTAGCAAGTCTGAAGTTGCAGGGTCATGAATCTCCTCAAGTATTGATTTGTGGAACGGCAGGAGCATAGACATTGCAATAGGAATGAATTCGAACTATTTGCATACGGTAAGCTAGCCGTGACCTGCAGGAGAAATTACCTAGCTCGACAGCAGCTTCGAAATGGCAAGGGTTCGAAGGTCACGTGACCCGCAATTTTCACTCACAGGACAAGACTCCGACAAGTCAACTTGTCAAGCACCTGCACGTGCATATTCACTCCCCCCCCTTCTGCACAAAGGCAGAGATGCCGATGAATTGTAGTCAGACGCTAACAGTAATAACCGAGCGCAGCCAAAACGCTTACTATGTCGGAACTTTTTGCGTGGCATTTTGATGTATTAAAATGTACGATTCTATTGTGATCAAACAGAGCTCTCAGCTCACCTAGCTCTCCCCTTTATAAGTCACGTGAGGTCATGTGACGTGTCGGATCCCTTGCCATCTGGCATCTGGCATCGGCCCACCAATTTTTCGCCTTGAGCGAGAGTGAAATTGCAAGTTTACGTGATCGTGTGTCGATTTCCTCCAGCGCTAATTGTCAAGTCTGCTCGCTGTAGATGATCTCATTGACGTGCGCTATCCATGTTTAACCACAGGCTCGCAGTCTGACGTTTGCACAACAGCAACTCATCTAATCACTCTCACAAACGGACTACAGCATTAATGTCGGGGTCCTGCAGACCGCCCACTCGATCTTCAACCAATAGCGAGCCCAAGTTCGCTCGGACGAGCTATCCATGGAGATCAACTTCGTGTTATCGCATTTCATGCAACCTTTCCTTGATCTATCCAATCAAACTGCAACCATTCTGCTTTCTTCCCCTGCCCCACCTAATATCGCTATCGTAACACAAGCTCAGATCATTCTCGTTGATATATTCTACGACTTTACGCGTCAAGACCTACCCCCGGGCATTGGGGATGCTCACGACTCCTTTTTTGCTCTACAAACTGGACTCTTTCAGCGTTTCATGTCATGGGACCCAGTAGAGCTTCGATCCGATGTGAGTAACACATTTGCCGTCCTTTGCCAGTTAGTGACCTGTCTTTAGCCTGATGAAACACAGCCATCGCTGCCTGCTCAGTTGAAGACCAAAATTTTCGAGATTGGCGAGGTTTGCAGCAGGCTGAGAAAGAGGGAACAAATGCTAACATACGTCACAGCTTTATATCAAGCTTTTCCCAGACCAGCTATCGCGCTCGCCTGCTGTCGAAGGATTTGTACAGAGCGTATGGGAGCTCATCGGGTCGAACCGGCTCCCTGGTGTTGCGGACGACTCTGTACGTTTTCAACTTTTTTGTTTTGTTTTCTAACAACCTCATTGGCATCGGCTTGCCAGCTTGTTTCTCAATCTTTGCATTTTATATCCACCGCAATTCGGTCGAGTTACTATAAATCGCTCTTCTCCTTGCGCGAAACCATTGCCTCTCTCGTACAAGGCGTCATAATTCCTAATATTTGACTACGCGACCATGAGATGGAGCAATTTGAAGATGAGCCACTTGAATTCATTCGGCTTGATTTGGCTTTCGGAGGTAGTAGCGCATCAGAAGTTGCAACTCGACGTTAGGCAGCCGCAGCGGGAACATCAATGGCGAAAATGACATCGATCCCACGTGCCTTCACCAGGAGAGGTTGCAGGGGGATGACTTCACCGTCCTCACCACCGTCCACCATATTCAGATTCGTTTGCGCCGAATCAATAAAGGTGTCAGGCGCCACACCATAGAATGGGTTTGGCCAAGAAGCAACGTCATATTCAACCTTGGGTTCAGGCATGAGACTCGCCCGCGCAACGGTCTTTCTCGCGAGAGAAGTTAACGGCTGCTTGATTCCAGTGATGGGTGTTTATGATGCAGTTGCTCAGAATTCCGCTTTTTTTTGCTTTTCGGTATATTTTGCAAAGCCTATCATCTTGCTCGTTGATGAGCTTCTTAAGCATTTTCATTGGTTTATTTGTCGCACTTGTTTTCTTTGCATTTACTATCACCTACGTACGGTACGGTATCTTGGCCAATTTGATCATGAATCTGGATTTTGAATTTGAGTGGGAGCAGGGCTGTGCGTTCTGATGGTCGTGGCGCAGAACTTGCCTAGACTGGTGACCAGCCCCTCTATGAGGCAAACCGTCGATAGTTCGAACTTGCCTGGTACATAATCAAATGCCCAATTAGATCTGTTGTTATGGGGCTGGGTTAGGATGGGTGGCTATAAGGAGCAAGAAGTTGGATGTTGAATGACATTGACAGTACTAGGATGACCACGCTCAGGCTGCTTCTCCCAAACACATGAGCCACTCACCTTTCACCCTCTCTGCCTCGTGTCCCAACCCTTGTCGACACCCAAGGCAATGAAATGGCCTTCAAAAGCAAAAGTGTCAAGCGTTTCAGTGTTCGTGGTTTCCTCGCAGCGATCCTGCACCCATTCATGACATCCCCAACCGACGCCCCTGGGGTGTTCACCTTGGGCGATAGCTGTAACAACGTAGGAGATTGGCACACGCTGCTCTTGAACAACGAGCTTTCTTCGCAGTGCGAGCTCGAACACATGGTCTGCTGCAAATGCACCACCAGCGTCGAACATGAATTCTTGCTCCTCCATTTCCGCCATCCGACACAACACCACGCTGTCGCTATCCTAGTGTTGGACAGGACATCGCGTCCGGATTATGCAGAGAATAATCATGGCAATGGCTCGTTGAGATCGGTTGGCATTGGCCAATCAACCATAGTCTCCCCCTCGGTATCTGCAACCCCCGCCCACGATTCCATCTTCACCACCCCCAACAACGGCTCTGCCATCGAATCATACCTCACTAAACGATATGGCCAGCACAAGTACCTTTTTAACCTCAAGTCGTCGACTTTTCCGCTTCCGCTCGTCCTTCGGCGATGCAAGTATCTGTGCTGTTGTGCGTGCTCCGCAAGCATTCTCCAACTTATCATGTGTGGCAATACCAGTGTTACTGGTACGCCTACACTGTTTGGGAGGCGCTCAAGAGGCTTTTTCCTGGGTGCCGGGAGACAACGCTGAGTGAGGGGCGCTCTCGCTTTTGTGGGCAGGAGGTTAGGAAGGCGGAGAGTGTTGGGGCGGTGTGTGAGCTGTATCGCGCTGAGTGGGCGCGTTTTGAGAATGCGGTGGAGGAGAGGAGGAGGGCGAAGGAGGAGGAGGTGCACCGGGTGAGTGTTCTTTTTTTGGATTGGTTGGGCTGTTTACTTATTTGTTTTTACAGTTGAGGATGGAAGGTTTGGTGGAGGGACGGGCTCAACGTCAACCAGAGGTTGACAAAGAGAGGAGGCATCGAGAGGAAGTGGAGAGGAAAGCAAACGAGGCAGAGAGGAGAGCAGACGAAGAGAGGAGGCAAAGGGAGGAAGAGAAGAGGAAGGCAGATGCAGAGAGCAGGAGAGCAGACGAAGAGCGGAGGCAAAGGGAGGAAGCGGAGAGGGAGTATGAGGTTGAACTGAACCGAATGCAAGCAAGAATGGCCGAGCTCGAGCGCTGTGCAGTGTGATACTGGTGTAACAATTGCTCTCATTTCCTCGTCATCGTCATCCTCCTCACTAATAGATCCAGTTGCAATGTACATTACTATTAGAACATATCAGAATTGACCTTCCTGTCTCAGACTCTCGATCGGCATGTAACTTTGACTCTGGACGAGAGTGTTTACTACCGGTAACGCAGATCCTTCCGCTTTCAAGTTAAAGGATACATCAAGGATGCATTTGCGGACCTGTTCCTCAGGCGCGACTGTCTTTCCCTGCACAAAAGCATACTTTATTGGGAGCAGCAAGGCGTGTATAAATCTGTCAACCAGTGCCTTGCGCCAGCTTGTTTCATCACCATTTTATATATCGGTAACATTAATGCGAATGGTTCAATGCTCTGAGCGAAACAAGGCGTTTAACAGCTTTCCCTCGCCAGAATCGTAATAAAAGCAGGGATTTGGGGGTTACATGAATTCAGACGTAGTTGCACTGAAGGACAATTGTAGATGGTGATTGCAAAGCCAGCGTGATATGTATGTCTATCACCTTGAAGAAGGTCTTAGAACGCGCCAACATCATAGATGAATGACTACACTAGCATCCATCCCCTCATGATCCCAGATTATTGATAACCACTTGCAGTATCCTGCGCGTAAAGATGAGAACAACGGATGGTTGAGAAGAGTCATCACAAACCTGAAGATTAAGGTAAAGTACTTCTGTAAATGTCGAGTGTGAACTTGACCACACGTTCAAAGACTGCGGTGCTCTGCCCGACCTTGGACACCTGAAGAAAAAGGGAGGTGCCAGTCGAGTCTTCACGTTCAGTTAACTGCTGTAGCATCCTGGTAACTTTCTCTCCTTGATGATCGTCGAACAAATGACTAGAGACACGCCGCCCACTTCGCTGCCATGCAAAGTCAAATTTGAGTCCGGGGGAATCATCTTTCGGGGAGTCTTTGACTTTCTTCTGAAGTGACTGATTGCAATATGAAAGGTTGGCGCTAACTTTGAGCGGACCGCAGGGGCCTGCACCAATCAGTAACCTATATAGCTAGGTGAAAGCGGTCACTCACTTGACAGCTCGCTATTGAGTATCGCTGAAACAACGACAGCACGAATGGGATTGCGGTTATCGCGGTCAGCAGTGACTGCGAATGAAAACTCGACAATCCTGGACCCCCGAACAGCATCGACAACCTTCCCCTCAATTCTGGCGCACTGTTGATCAGCAGCAAGAGCCGCTGCTTGAACCTTGGAAAACCACATCTTGCTTGTAGCCCAGCTCCACATGTCTGAGTGGAGAGTTGCCGTTGCTGACAGCCCCGCTTTTTGCTTGAGAAGGTATATGACAACATCTTCCAGACATTCATCAAGAGCAATGTGTAGTACTGTTCTGGCAGTCCAGTCCTGCAAAGAAAGATTACAAGACGGTTCAACGAGGGCTTTTACGACGGGTAGCAATTCGCTGCCGCTAGTGTGTACTAAGAGGAAATCGTGGACAGGGGTAGAACCGTCGACTGTGAAATTGACATCCGCACTGCGTTGATGAAATTTGCGAATAGATTTGTGTGATGGGTCTTGCATCAACGTCAAAACAGCCATGTGCAGGATGTCTTTAGGTAGGTTGGCCTCTGTTTGTGACAGCAAGAAATCCATGGCAACCTCGCTTCCAATCACAGCTGCCCACGAAATTGGAGCATAGAAGCCGTCATGAATGAAAACCTCAGGTTTGATGGAAGAAAGCTTGTTGAGATCAACGCCCAGCTTCAGGAGAACACTGAGACAGTCAGGGTTCTTGGTTATGGCGAAAATCAAGGGAGAACCCCAACCAGGGGCAACATCCTCGTCCGGTAGATCGGGGTGCTGCTTGATGATGAATTCGACCATCCATGGCTTTCCAAGGTCAAGCGGGATGCATAGAAGTGATGGTAAAGTCACAGCGAGACCCAACCACCTATTGCTAGCAAGTATGAGACCCGGAATATTGTCTTGAGTCGCAAGCACGAGATGTTTCTTGGTGTTTTGACGAAATTCCGAATTCAGCTGTGACAGGGTGGTCATAACGCAGGGATCCTCCTCCGAAACACATCTAAGATGCTTCCATCCTCGAACTGCATAGCTAAGCAACGTATGGTCTTCCCTGACATCCGTAACATCAGCTAAATTTTCGCCTATATAAGTATCGTTTCTTAGCTCATATACATGAAAGATGGTAATGCACAATTTGCGCAGACCTCATCTACGAAGTCGCATAACACATACGTAATCAACAACTCGCAGATCCGTGCGTGCATGTCTGAGGTCGATTGATCAAGTATTCCTGGTTGCATAGTGCATCAGCGAATGAGTAGGATGACGGAGTTTAATATATCATACTTTGACGCTATAATGAGACAGAGCGACAGCACTAGTTTTCTTATCGTAGGCCACAAGGTTTCCGCACGCGGCCACGATGTCCAAAGGGTCCATCACACCAAGGTTTGGATTAAGTTTTGATTTTCCGACTTCAATCATCATTGCTTCTTTGAGCTGATCAAGCATCAATGGGGTGAGCGCGCCAGCCAGCCAAAGTAAATAACTCCGAGCAATTTGGTCATCGCTTCGTCCTCTTTGTTTGATAGTCTGAAAAACCCTATCATACGTCTCGTAAAGTCCAGCTGGAAGGTTATTGAGGGCTTCCTTGATATCTACAAGTCTTTTGCAAGCCACAATTTCGTCCAGTTGACACTGAACCCAGCGAAACCTGTGTATGATCATACAATAATGAATTTCTGAAAAGCGAGCGGAAAAGGTTTTACTTACATGCCCTCAGCCTTTTCTGACAATTTCTTCAAAATTGTGTTCTTCAGCTCGTCGGATAGGCATAACAAACACATTTGATTCTCCAGCTGCTCAGTAATGTGGACCAGTATATCTCCTGCCTCGTCTGTCAACGACATGGTGGGGAGAGCATTGAAGGCATCTTGGATGGGTGGCTCGCTTCTACTGGTGACAAGTGATAGGGTGACGCTTGCAGGGGTGGGCCTGACGCACCAAATATGTAGGCGTTGAGTATGTTATGTGTGTCGTTGCGAGTATCAATCACTTTTGAGTGCTTCTAGCAAGATTAGTCCAGGCAGCCCGAAATCGCAGTGTTCAAGATGTGTTACCCTCTGTCATCCTTAAATGAACAAGATGCAGGCACCTACATCTCAACATCCCGATCCCGATCCAGATCCTGCATTTTGACATCTTCACTGTCGGCAGGCCCCTTTTCATCATCATCAGATTCCATTGCAGAAGGCCACCCCGCCCTCCCCACCATCCTTTCTACCGTACCCCGATACATAGCATTATACACCTCTTGCTTTGCCACTCGGTGCAGCTTATTCGTGCACTTAAATATCTCTGCGCTTGATCATCAACACTGAACAACATAAAAGAAGAGAAGTAGGAAGCATACTGAGGAACCTTTCGCTGACCAAGAGGCGAAGGGGGGCATTGCTTATCGACCCATTACCACCGTCCGTGTCATTCTCATTTTTCTTTTCTTTTCCTTTACCGTTTCCACCATTCACGTCCTTTTGCTTCGCACCTATCCCAGCACCAAGCGTCTTGCACACAGCCAACGTCTCCGTAGCATGCGTAGGTGCCATATGCAAATACTGTGCACCCACTTGCGCGAGGAGCAACGCATGGAGATGGTTCTCGCCTGCTAACGTTGATAAAGACAACGCAGTTTTTAGGTGAGATCTGCGCCAGAAATCAGTTTGTAAGCATGAGTTGGTTATGCAATTTTTGGTGCGAAATAAAGAAACATACCTGGCGCCAACAATCTCCCCCCTCGTACCCGCCACAGCTGCTTGCATCACCTTCCCAACCGCTTCACGCATCCCTCCCATCCCGTGACACCGCTTGATCGCAGACCCAGCCACTGCATACGTCTCAGCATCCAACCAGCCGCTATTGTCACTGCTAGCATCTTCATTCACAACAGTGTTCGAGTTCTCGTCGTGAGCCTGGGCTTGGGCACATAGTCCTATGCGCAACAATGCTTCCCCAGCGCATGCAGCAGCACCTACATACCCAGCCGCTGCATTGCGCTCATCATCCATGGATTTGGCAACGCGATAGCATACGCCTGCGCGTTCGGTATCTCTGAATGCATGTGCGAGGTGTGTGGCGTGGAGGGTTGATGTGGAGGGTTGATGTGGGCGCTATATGAGTGGAAGAGGTCGTGAGTGTGGGTTAGGGTGAGTAGTGCATTTAGGTCTGATTCTGCGGAGTCGAATTCGGAGCGTTGTACGGATATCTGTGTTTGAGGATGAGATGAGGTATATGAGGTAGTGAAATGTAAGTAAACGTACCGCAACGAGCTCGCATAAAAGATCAGCTGTGAGTCTTACTGCACGCTGTATTATTTTGTCTCTATCTGCTAAGGAAGCCCAGAGCGGCACTGAAGATAAGTGAGCGTCAGGATCAACACAATAGTGATTAACGGCGCGACAAAAAGATATGAAACAAAGCTTACGTTCAATATCCTCTCTTTTAGTATTGAGAATACTGATTGCTGCTTCGGCGCAGAGCCGTCTCTTTGGGTTTCTGCCCACTGGGTCCCGTTTCGCAGTGGCGCTGACGAGAAATGTAAGAAGGAGAAGTATGAGTGGGTGGTATGGACTGCTAGAGGAGGGCGCGGAGGGAGAGGAATCTATACGAGTTGCATAGTTAGGACCCAGGGGGAGAGAAACACGAAAGAGAAACGGAAAGCATACCTGGACAATACCATCCTTGAATCCCTCGAGTGCTCCACTATCGACAATTTTGTGGAGCGCGATGAGCCTTTGCTCGGCAGCACGAATGTTTCCGGAGAAAGTACAGAATATGGTACCGGAGAGCAGTGTATGAATAACAAAGGAAGCATGAGCAGGGTCTGATTGCGTGCTTTCCTCCTCTTGTTTGGGTTCCACATCTGAATGGTTGATGTGCACTTGGGAATATTCGCGAGAGGGAGCGTTAACGTCGTGAGCAGTTATAGAGTTCCAATGAGGAAGTGCGTCATCATCTGGTTTGGCGTTTACAATCGCATTAATATTACCCTTGTCATTCTTAATTTTGCCGTCCTTGTTGAATATCAAGCCAAGCATGGCCTCCGCGGTATCAAGAGCAGGCCCTACTTGGGCCCATGCACCTGCACGAAGGAGGACACGCAACCTAATGACGTGAGTGAGGAAAATAATCCGGGAGTGGTGCAGGGCTGGTATTAGTAGCAGCATTAGATGAAGGGAGCGGGGTAGTAATTTGGGTGATTGATGCTAGGTGTGCACCATATACGATGCCTAGAGGGTCGGAGGGTAAAAATGACACAATGAGGCGTCTGAGGATAGCACGTGCGAATTTTGGGAGATGTGGTAGAGGAAGGGAAGATAAATGCAAAATGAGAATGGAGGAGTGTGGTGATGGCAAAGCGGCCGAAGTGAAGGATGCTGAAATGCGATGATATGGTCAATTGTTTATGTCAAAAATGAGGAGACTAACTTTTTGAGCGATGAGGAGGCCTTTGCTAAGTGCTTTCTCGACCTGATGTACTTGTCAGCATGCACAAGTGGCAAAAAAGAACATGACGCACTTCGGAATGAATACCTACAGCCCAGTCACATCCTCCCTCCTGCGAGCCACTCTCCATGACTCTCATGCCGACTTCGGCCAAACTTGTCCAAGCATGACATTCTACTAATCAGGTGCTAGGGCAGGCAGTGCTAAGCATTGTCTTAATGAACGGAGGGAGAGAAAGAGTGAAAAGCCAAAGTCTAGATGAGTCGGAGGAAGTGCCAGAAGCCCTGGAAGTGCAAGGAGTAAGATTGCTGGAGGGAGCAGGCGGAGTGCTGGCATCGGAGAGTCTGGGGGTGGAGTGAATGACGAAGATCTCGGCATCGGCGAGGTCGAGATGGAATGTGTGCACTGACGTTTTAGCGGACGTGTATTTGTGTCGTACATTCACTGCGGAAACGAGATTTTGATCAGAGGCTATTCCCAGGTAGACAGGAAGAATATTCAGAGGCAAAACGTACCTAGCTCATAATCCGACACTAATGGGCCTCGCAGGATTTAGGGAGGCATTCGAACACCGGGTGTAGCCATAAAACGACTCCTCAACATGCCGAGGAGCCGACTGTTATTGCTGACTAACAGTATGATGTCGCAGATAAGTATCACATCGGGGTTATCAATATTTAGGATAGGTTTACACGTTGTACGAAATGTGAAGAAAATATTTGGAGTTTGAACTGACATAAAGAGGGACATATAACTTCAAATTTAGTCATCGTTGTGTACGAAATTCAAAATATGAAATATCCACCATTTTTTCACGGACTATACGTCAACACAAATAATAAATATAGTCAGATTTTCAGCGTCTGCTTGAATTTTAAGTTTAATTATCACATAGAACTTCATATGAAACTTGAAGTTTACAGCTGTTTGCATAAATGATGACAGTACACGACTTTTTGGGAAAGAAGAAAAATTAAATATTCTAGTGTGGCACTTCGTCTTGTGCCACAACAATCAACCGCAATCAACATCGATGTATCAAAAAATCAGTCACGACGTCAAACTCGCTGCCGTCAATCTCTACGAGCGTCATCACCTTTCTCTTCAGGGCATTCTCGCTTGTGTTGGACAACTTGGATTCTCGGAAAGTACTTTCTGGCGTGTCCTTAAACTTTGGCGCAAGACAGGCAACATTGTTAGCCCCACCTGTAGCCTTCTTGGTTTCTTCATTTCTGAGTATGAATACACTATGAGAGTGTACGAGATCGAGACATTGTGTGGTGGTGGAGGTACTGAGTAAAATCTCACATTCGGGTATTCAAGAATCAATGGTCAATGAACTTCAAACAATTGTACCTTCCTTGGGCTTGGGGGGGCGACCAGGGCCGCATTTTTCGTTTTCTGGTGATTCTAGTTAGGAAGTGGGTTCCACGACAATTGTTTCATCCCCTGGAGAGATGTCATACTGGTCCCTGACAGCCGCCGTTATCGAATCGTCGTCAGAGTCCATAGAATCAGAGGATATTGAGTTTGTCATTTTCGACTCAATCGTAACTCACATACATGCGGGATGCGTTATTTACTGCTGTGTAAAATTTATTTATTTATTCTTCTTTCTCAAAAAGTCGCGTACTGTCATCATTTATGCAAACAGCTGTAATCTGCTGCTATATGCTTGCCAGTGTTTTAAGTTTTGTCCAACAATTAGGGGTTGCCAAAAATTTGAAGTTTACACCGGCAACAAAATGGGGTGACAAAACTTCAAGTTTCGCCCTTTGACAAAATAAATCGCCTGATGGTCGCCCGCTCATCGTTCAATCGTCGCCCACTCACCACCTGCAACAAGCACAAAATGGCGATCAAACTGTTTCAAATTAGCATGGTTGTTGCTTATATTTTTATAACAAAATACTAGTCTGAGAGGTTCACAAATGTATACACTTGTGAGCATGAATGAGAAATTTGAGCTAGTGAGGGTATGAACAAGATAGGATACGAAATACAACTTTAGAAACAACATAATAAACTGATTAATCACGAGATAGGGATAGAATCACTGCGTGACGGGTGGAAACCGTCCATCGTGCGAAGTGACTGACCGCCCAGGTTACCTTAACATTTTCTAGGCGACTCTCCAACTCCATTGAGTACATTTTTGCAGTGAAATCAGGGTAAATCGAGAAGGGATCGATCATGCCATCGTGACAATCCGGCGGGAGATATCTCTGTGCAGCAAACGAAAGTTCTCCCATCAGTGTGCCATAGATGTATTTGATGCTGGCAGGGACAGGGGTCAATGTTTGGTCTCCTCGGGGGTAGAAGAGAATTTGGCTGTTGCCCAAGTGCGTAGATGCCCTACTGTACATAATACCATCGAACTTGAGTGTGGCACGTACATAGTATTGCTGTTCGTCATCTCAGAAGGGTATATAGGTCATCAGGCACTGCGCTAGTGATTGCACAGTCAGTCACCTGAATAGCGTCATTCATGGGGTCCTCAGCAAACACTTGGCTGGAATTTTCAGCGCTCTTGGGTGCATATACTCTATCAAAGATGTCCCTGCACTCTTGAATAGCAGGTGGACAACCCGGTCAAGCCAGCCAGCGGCGAAACATTGTAGTCTTGATATATGAATTAAGCATGGTGTTCTCGAGCTCCCCTTAGAGACCATTAGTCCACTTGCTCATTCCGTATTCTCATAGTGACTCACCAAATTTGTGATTTACAGGAAGCCACTGGAGTATTCCAATCAGGTGCTTGAAAGGAAAACACCACCACAAGTGGGCGGGACCGAATAGGAGTAGGTAGTCGTATATATGGAAAGCTGCATGGTGGTTCAGACGCAGAGAAGAGGTAGGATGGATCTCCTTCAACTTTCCAACGTAACTAGCAATGTACAAACGATAGGCTTGTGCCCTTCTTGTAGTCATCATTCGTGCACATGCAACATAAACTGCACAGACCAGTTCCATAGTATGATCAAGAACCATTCTGAGGCGGGCAGCAAGTTCAGGAGAAGAGTGCGAAGTACCAGCTCCCCACAAGCTCACAAGGGCAATGGGAAGGTAGACTGGGATAAGCATTCGCCACTCATCAGCCTTGAGTGTCCCAGCAGAGGCCTCTCCAAAATTACTTGGAACTGAACCCAACCAAGTAGGGATGGATGTATCTTGGATGACATTGCAAATGTGTTTAAGTACTTCTGCCGTGCCAAATTGATGTTCTTCTTTAGGGGCAGCTAAAGGCTGTTCATGATGCTGTATAGAAACATTGAGAAACTCAGGACAATGGACATGGTGAATGAAGAGCTTACCCACTCAAGAAGAGCTTTAACATAATCAACTTTAAGTGTTCTACCAGCTTTCTGTGGCATACAACCCAGGATATTGCAGACAAACTTCAATGGGCCCACATTCTTGTGAAGCAGAGAATTTTTCAACGCGTCAAAACATTCATCCAGTTGCCCATTATTGGAAACGATCTGGGAAACAAGGAGGGCATTGATTGTAGATGTTTGCCTCATTTCCTTGGATGACATCGTCCCTGCGGGTACTTCACCAAAGTCATGCGAAAATGCAGGTGGGGTCGATGTCGATGTATTTGACTGTGAAGTCAAACCGAGGAGACTACGAGTGTGATATGGGACTAGACCTTCTAATATACAGTGCATTGGATCGACAATAAGCTGCCATGAAGGGTCCCAGTATGATAGATGCCAAAGTTCAGAATAATGCACACAATGAGCCTTAAATAGCCTTTCACGCTCAGAGGACGTGGCAGCGTCTCGCCACTGCTCTGTGTATTGCCGAAGTTCGTTTCTATCACGAGGTTCCCAATTCTCATAGTCAACCTGTCCATAAGTAGACTTGTGGTAGCATTTGCATGCGCTGCAGTAGAAATGACTACTGACTCCAGCCAGAGAAGAGAGATGACGAGCAGCAGGAAGATCACAAACAACCAGGGCAGCAGCACTACAAGTTAGTCGACCATTAGGGTAACACGCGGTTTTGGAAAACTTGATACCACGCTCCCATGTGTCCACCAAATCGTTGATGAGCGGTCGGATGTAATGGTTGAGATTCTTGAGAGACGGCTGCTTTGGACTGGGAATGATACCCCCGAGATACATGTTCTCCGGCTTATATCTGATATCCAAAGGCAGATTCAAGCACGCCATGGAGATTATTCTGCAAGACGTACTAGCTCCCCACACATTCATCCCTTCAGGATTGAAAAAATCCACATGAAAGGCGAAGGCATAGCGTCCTTCCTCTCCTCTGTCGATAAAAAGCATCTCAGGCTTCAGGCCGCCAAACTGACGTAGGAACTGGGCTTCAAATGGATTCTTGATGAAGGGTGGAAGAGGAGACTTAATGGAGTCCATGAGTTCATCACAAGCTTCATCCATCACGGCTTCCACATCTCTATGAGAAAAGAGACCAGAAAGATAGTCTTTGAAGTCGTGATATACGAAAACCTTCCTTGGACGGGACCCTCCTTCAGTGCCAACAAGTAAAGCATCGCTGCATTCGGTCCTGGGTGTAGGACAATGCGTGCAACATTCAGGATATGTTGCAGTCGTAAAGCCTGGTGCATATGTCGGAGGATAGGTGAAATGACAACTACAGACAGCGTATGCAATGGTTTTGCCAGTGAGATGAAATTTGGTCTCTGCGCCTTCCGAGGTCAGAGGAATTTGCCTGAGGATATTTTCATGCGAGGAGTCAAGACTGCCGTCCGACCTCCAAAATGAGAGGGATAATATGACGGAAATTATCCTTATGATGAAATCACAACTGCACCTGCTGACCCCCATGACAACTTTGCATGCCACGCAAAGGAACAAGACAACTTGGCTGATCTCGTCTGAGCGGTCAACTGGAGCTTGCTGCAGAGCGTCTATTAAACGGTAAGCACGGAACCATCATTGACATACTCATGACTTACCGGTATTAATCTCTATGGGTACTTGCAGCACATCCTGGTAGCTGCCGAGCTGGGTAGCCAAGTCATCCATCTGTGCTGCGATTGCCTTCTTTTGTGCAATTACAGCATCTGCCCCTCCATTGATGTTCTTCATAGCTGTGCGAAGCAAAGATAGCTCACAACCAATGTCATCAAGGTTACAGGGATGCAACAATAAGCGAAAGCATCGCTGAATCTGGGAGTCGATATTATTGAGGATATGCAATGCTTTCAATGTGCGCCAATTGCGTTTCAGCTTTGATATGGTCTCTCCATCAGCCTGGCTATTGCAGATGTGAACAATAAGGGCTGGGAATTATCCGCGGTAAGGGACAAATGTCTGAGATCGTCCGTGATAGAGGAGACGGTAGATTTGCCAGCGATGGTATGTGCAGGGCTTTCTGCCTTTACATGCCAGACATGAGCTGAGATTGAACATTCTGCTATTAGCACCCCCTTTGGTGCGCCTTTCTCGTTGTATCCCCCCTTTCTAGTACACTCCTCACAAATGCACCGTGTGAGCGCTGCACGGGACGCAGGCATCGAGCAAAAAATGAGCTTGACGGCGATGACAGTATGTACCGTCGTTGTCTATGGGTCGTGTTGTGAGGCTTGCAAGCTGAAAGAGCCTGAGGTGACTATTTAAATTGAGAACAACAGCAAGGGAAAGTGACTTACAACAGTGATCAAGAATACGAACAACTGAGAACAACGTGATAAGAAACGGCAGCAACAAAGTACGAGGTGCTTACCTACATGGACACCACCCAGATACAACTGTGACCAAACATGGATGAATGACATAGAGACGCTATAAGAGGAGATTAAGTCAGGATAGCAACATGATTGGTATGAGTACATACCGGCCCCGCGTCTTAAACCTATCTCCAATTCGCGTTAGTGATTGATTGAAGTTGGAGTGCCGTACAATCCAGGACAATGAATCAAGTTGAAGTCCAGCAGACACAACAGTACAGACCATTGTATCTGAGGAGGAGAGGATAAGGGATAGCCGAGGTGACAGTACAGACCGTCGTATCCACCAGTTGAAGTCCAGAGACATGGCAGTACAGACTGTTGCATCAACAAGTCGAAGTCCAGCAGACACAACAGTACAGACCGTTGTGTCAGAGAAGGAGGAGAGGATAAGGGATGGCGCCACAGTACAGACCATTGCGCCAATTGAGGTTGAAGTATAAGGTAAGTATAAGGTATATATACAAGAATAGAACAAGGCAAGACTCTGAATCAATTCGTCTGAAAGTACAAACACCTGCTAACAAAGTCACATGCAAAGCAAACTCAACCCGACTCAAAGTCTCAGCCAACCAGTACAAACACCTGCAAATAAAGTCATGTGCAAAGCAAACTCTTGAAACCCAACTCAAAGTCTTGACTCTTAGCCAACCATACTCCTATACCATCTATGCTATATTTAGGGCTCAGCAGTCTGTACTGCTGAGTCTCTTTGACTCATAACCTCCATCACCTAGCAGTCTCGATTGTGCAACGGTCTGTACTGTTGCTTGTTCTCTCGATCTTGTTCTCGACCTGTTGCGTGCAACAGTTTGTACTGTTGCACACTTTCCATCGCCCACTCTGACGATTATGTCGCCCACCCCATGCCATTTCGCCTGTCAGGCGATTCATCTTCAGTCATCCCTCCACCCCATTAACTCACGGATTATGTCGCCCACCCCATGCCATTTCACCCCTCAGGTGATTCTTCCCAATCTTCCGCCCATCAGGTGACTCTTTCTGATCTTCGGTCATCGCTTCAACATCTCGCAGATTATGTTGCCCACCTCATGCCATTTCGTCCGTCAGGCAATTTTCCACTCACCCCACTATCTCGCGGATTATGCTGCCCATCCCATGCCATTTCACCCGTCAGGTGATTCCATCTTCACCCATCCCTCCATGTTACACATGGAGGGGTTTACAACAAATACAAGACAATGTTAAAATGCTACAACATTTCTACATCACAAGTGACGGACTTCTTTTCCCGAATCATTATCCTGATACCGTTTTCTCCTTCATCGCACCAAAAAATACCCTCTCGGCTTCTGCAGACATCTTGTGGTATTGTATCATATCATGAATATCCTCACCTACATCTCCATCTTTCTTGGCCTCTCGAATGACTTCAATGAGTTTCCCTGTGAGTTCATGTAACATCAATATGTTGCTCTGTTCAACCACTTCCTGATGGACTCCCGGTGCTTTGGTGAATACCTCAGCACTTTGGAAGTTTTTATCCGAAAAGGTGAACACTCGAGGCATTGTCATTTGTTGGGCGATGTCCCCTGACCATGTTGCCACCATGTCCTGTGAAGGTATGAATTTTTTGACTGCTGACCTACTGCTTGACTTACGAAGTAGTTCATTATTAAAAAACAGATGATAACCGCCAAGGCCCCAAAGTAAACCAGGATTTTGAACACGCATGTAACCACACACGACATAGGCCAGGATTGTTCAGAGGTAAGAGCTCCCTTTACTTGTCATATATCATATACCCGGATACAGATCCGAAGATCCGGATCTCAGATCCGATACAGATCTGATCTGATTCTTATTTCATCTCCTTTTGGTATTCCTGTACACCGGTATACTGGTTATCCTTTACTTCAGTTATGCTTACTGATCTGCTACACTTACTGATCCGCTTTAACTTATACTTCATTCCCGGTTCATGATTCGTGATCCATCCGACTTACCAATACACTGTGCACATACTTTGCTTATACTTCATACATAGCCTCGCGCCTTTGCTTATTGATCATTCCATTAGTTATCCATAGTATATAAACCCTTGTACATGCGCTGTAGTAGATCAGTTTGAATATCATCTTAGATTGCACTCATTCCGTCTGGACTCTAAGTCCCTCCGTTATCCGTCCAGACTTGAGTACGATACTCTTGTCTACTCTGAGACTTAGGATTGATTCCTATAGTCTATATATCTGCCTCTGTCTTTGGACAGGCCTCACCCGTTAGTTTCTAGTTTGGATCCAATCCGGATTAGCCGTTACTCTATACGTTCAATATCCGGAAGACTTAATGGATCTGTTACGATACTTATCCGTCTCACTAGACGCGATACTCTAGCACTCTGAAATAAGGGGCAAGACTCAGGAAAGGGGCACAGTGCACGAGCTTACATTTTGAATCTGACACCTACTGCTATTTTCTGCACCAAGCCTGTATTGGAGTGATGAAGAGTCTCGAATAACTTCCCCGATTTTCTCTCGAATACATACACTGATCCATGGTCACTCCCCCTGATGATTAATCTCCCTTCTGCCCCGAATGCCACCTGCTTTGGGACGGATACAGTCGGAGCAGCAGTCACGAATGTTCGAACTGGTTCCTCCTCACCTTCAAGTCGATATAAAGTAAAACTGTTGGTGGCATTGTCCACTATGAACACACTCCTCTTCTGGTTCACTGCTGCATGTCTGCTGAAAGAAGGTCAGTAATACATCTGTCGATGACGTGTCATGAACTCTTACATAACCGATTGGCAGCTGTATTCCTTTGCGACTGTGCCGTCATCACCTTTCAGCTTGATGAAGTTCCCATCGTATAGTCCGAAGACAGACACATCCATTATCTGCAAACGCAACAGACTTTGGCACTGTGTTATCGAGTCGCGCTGAAAACACAGCCTGCAGCTGTAAATTTGTGTTGAGAATGAGGACTTGGACTATTTTGTCCCTTGTTCCCACTGCAATCCGTGTATTCGCTTCGGAGGATGTCGAATCCCATACCATGCAAGTAATTTCAAAGCCTGATCCAAGCCTCCTAGCACAGGCCTCCTGAAACTGCATCTATTGCATGTTAGCTGAAGGTTCGACGATGACAGGACCCTCTTACATATGTCTATATGGCTATGATGTAAAAATACAATGTAGCCCAGCCCAGTTCCATAACAAAGGGTTTCTGCTATGCCCTGTCTTGTTGTGACTCAGACAGCACAGCTGACTGTGCCCCGGGACTCATAGTGATGAGTCGAGCATGTAAGTTCTTTCCGAGATTTGATATCCCAGAGTTTAACGCCCTCTGTCTCTGCTTGTCTGTTAGCAGCCTCACACAACAAAGTGCGTGTCAACTTACTGCTGCATGCAAGAGCCTGACCATTGTTAGATATTGTGAGGGCATGAATGGACCCACGGTAGGTAGAAAGGTGCGTTTGATGTTGGAAGTGTCACTTTGATTTCGTGAAGAGTAGTGAGGCAAAAAATGACATTGTTGCGTGCACGATCTGATTGTTGTAGTCGCCAGTTCACCTGCTCACAGCCTACTTATACTGAGAACTTTACTGAGAACTTTTTTGTTGATTCCATGGCGAATTTCCTGGCCATTTGTTGGTTCCCGACTTTTGTGTTGATTCCATGGCAATTTCCTAGCCATTTATTGGTTCCCAACTTTTGTGTTCATCCTTTTGTGAGTGCATAAGTGCATATCAATTCACTTTACTTCATATCAATTTACTTCACATAACATTTCTGTTGTTGACTGTCCTTATTGTTTAATCTCTATATAGTAGGTTACATTGAATGGTGTCATTAGGTCATAAATATCTAGGTTATTACAGTTCATACCCAATATCTTGACCCGCCCTTGTCACCCACTCATCATCCCGCTCACATTGCTGTAGCCACAACTACAACATGCCCAACCAAACCAACACTGTCTCTCCTTTTTATGATCAAGAGCCTGGTGCTCCACCTCCCTTCCCTCCTATGCTCACGGACCAGCTTGAACTATTTGACAGTGCTCACCGCTCAACTATGCTCGCCACTGACAAGGTTCTTCCTTCCAGAATCAATGCTGTTGATCCTTAGCATATCAAGCACCTGCAACTCAACAACACGCTGTTGCCTGAGTCCAAACTTGCAACACGGCCATTCAATAACGACTCCTCTTCCTCGCCATACTCGAAGAGAGTTTTGTGCTCATGTTTCAATTCTCGGATGTCCATGCCCTCAGATTCTTCGAGTTCATTAGAAACAATGTCGGACAGTGGCTCCTCAACTTCAACTGAGAGTCTATTGGAAGATTCAAAGATACCAAAGCTCCCTGGTGAACCAGGTCATCCGGGGCATGGAGGATGCACACTTAATGAGGCTTTAGACTGGAACCCAAAGGCATATGCTAAGTTCAAGGTGAGCGTGCTCTCACTACAACATGCTATTTGCTCATGGATACACGAAATCTATGCACCACCTCATTGAAGAACATCTCAATATGGCCAAGTGCGCTTCTTCCCAAAACCATGCGCTCCTGAAGGTTGTGCGCGACAAAGTAAGTAGACCACAGATGGTAGTTGTCCACAAATTTATTATTTGTCAGGCTGTCGATGCTTTCCCAGACTTAGAAAACTACAGTGACTTTTGGCCGCTGAATGATATGATCATGATGTGTTTGAAATATACATCAGGTTGTGCTAGGCAGAATCAAGCAAGGATGGTTGCAGGCAAGTCCAAGTCTAAGAGCAAGAAAGATTCATTGAAAGTGAAAGTAATATAACTGATATCGATCTACCGTAAAATTGATTCATACTATACCCCATGTACCGCATTTTACTTGAATTAATAGACATCATTGTTCCTGACGGAGACACATAGCTAGATATCAATGTCGTGTAACTCGTTTAAACTTTCCAACGAAGGCTTGCCTGATAATTAAAATTAACTTTATTCTATTCTTGTATACTAGTACTAGCGCTCATGATGCTTGTGACAAGAACAGCGTCATCACGGCGAACTTCATAATGTATTACATACAAATTGTTGTATATTACTTCGCATCAAACTACCTCGCTGCTGATCCTGGATGCCAGCCGGTGGCTTACCCGAGTGCTCAAGGGCTTCATGACGGTGAGAGTACGTGGGAGCTTTGCTTGAGGATAATGTTTGATGCTTTGTGTAAAACTGATGGATTCTCAGTCAACGAGGACTGGAATCACTGTGCAGTGATGATGCTTACTGATGCATGATGAAGTCTGCGAGCGAATTGTCCCTGCCTCGCATATTCACAACAGAGCCAGTGCTA